AAGAGAAATTAATAAAATTGTTGAAATGGCCAAAGTTAAATTTTCAATATTTAAAGGTTTAAGTATTTACCATTTGTAATTGTGAGAGTTGTGGCCCTTGGTACATGTAAACTCAGGTGACCTATTGGTATCCGTTTCTTGTCGTGGAGCGTCAACATCCATCATGTGTTAACATTTGAACAATTTTAACTTCTTCTCTGCAACCGCTCAACCATATTCAACGCACAAAGCATCTATGGGTAAAGGGGAACAAAAATTGTGATATTTCATAGGCCCTGCCCCCTGGGACTTGAGGGTTGGGGCCAAAACCACTAAATTTAATGCAATATTTAAACATTTTCTCCTTTGCTCGGCTGGACATTAAGCAGTCAGATTGTTGGCATGATTGTAATCAGCATTGAGTCCTCTACCAAAATTATGAATTTCATAGCCACAAGGTCAGGGGTTCTGGTGTTAGGGTGGGGCTCTAGCTATTGATTATAACTGAAAACTGCATAAATTCTTTGAAAATCTTCTTCTCTGCTCCTGGGTATTAAACAAACTAACCAAGTACATGTACATATAGTTATAATGAGCATGGAAGAATGCCTCTTCTAAAATTGTGAATTTCATGGCCCCTGGGTCAGTGGTTCTGTTGGTAGGGTGGGGCTCTATTGATTATATGGTGAAAATACAAAAATTTTTTGAAAAATCTTCTCTTCTCTTCCTTGGTATTAAACCAATGAACTATGTACATGTACACAGTAATGATGAGGAAGGATGCTTCTTTCAATTTGTGAATTTCAGGGCCCCTGGGTCAGGGGTTCTGGTGTTAGGGTGGGGCTCTAATGATAAAAAGTGAAAATGCATGAATTCTATGAAAATCTTTTCCTTTGCTCCTGGGTATTATATGCCAATGATCTAAGTACATATTTATGATGAAGAAAGGTGCCTCTTCCAAAATGGTTAATTTCAGGGCCCCTGGGTCAGGGATATGGGGGTTAGTTGGTTTCATAGTCTGAAAATATATTAATGCTTTGAAATCTGCTTTGAAATTGGGTATTAATCAACATTTATGATCAAATAAAATTTATGATAAAATTTTGAAATACGTGGCCCCAAGCTCAGTGGTTCCTGTGGGGTGGGGTGCACAACTGGTTGTTATAAAGTGGAAATGCATTTCACGGTTTACTAAATTTAACCCTTGCATATAAAGACTGAAAAAAACGAATTCTGAAATATTGGAATGTCATTCTTAGAAATCCAGAATGCACAATTTTATTTAATTCTCAACCAATCATATTTATTGTTTACAGCAAACACAAGAACGTAGGTGACGAGATAATCAGGTCTCACCTAAAATGAACATCATGATTTATGTCTGTGACCCCTGATGAGGCTATACTTAACAGCGAAACACTCTACAACTACTTAACTACTTGCATAATTCAAATTTATCTGCTCTATGCAAAAAAAAAATATATATATCTACTATAAGTGTGGTTTGGGGTGTCAGGTCCTAATAAATCTCTTACAAGTTTGGTTGATTGATGTCGCTAATTTTCATACTCTGATCTACCTCTGGGTATTAAGTAGTCAAAGTAAGCATGCTAAGTGTCTAATTATGATAAACAATGGTGCCTCTTTCAAAATTATGAATTTCATGGCCTTTGGATTAAAACGTAAACCAAAATTCAATTGTTGGAAAGCTGTTACGTGATACTCAGGTGATCTATAAGGCCCGTGAGCCTCTTGTTTATATTAATACATAATGAGTCAAAAGCATGTATTTCTTTCAAGATATCTGTATCATGGAGCGAAAGATTTATGAAAAAAATTATTATAGCAAAGATATGACAACTAAACTGAACTGTAAAGCATAAATGGCGGAAAACTTGAAAGGTTGTATCTACCGTTTCGTTGTTTTCGTGTATGTCAAGGTCACGACAATTTTATTTTTAGTTCAAACTTGAAAGTATCAAAATATGTAAATATTCAAATGGAGCATGCAAACGTGAGGAATATGTTCTAACAACTTTTTAAAAAATTTTTGTATCAAAAATTCTTGGTCTATTTACATTCATTCATAGGTACTTGAGACCACGGTGACCATGGTAACTTATTCAACTTTTCTGCGCACGCGTACAATAGATAGGAAGAAGTAAAGCAATATTTTCGTGCTGGGGCATACTGAAATTATTTTTACTTATATTTTTCTCCATTAAAGTTGAATTTTTAGGTTCTTAGTTAAATTTGTAATTTTCTGAAACCTAATACATTTGGGAATTGAACAAAATTTAAAAAATTCTACGTTTGTTAACTTTTCCCTTTGTGTCTCACGATGTCTCTTTAAAGTAAATTATAGGAAATTTAATCATATTAACGGTAATAAAAGTTGTCTTTATTGTTAGTGTGATCAAAGGTTCATTTGTCAAGTTCCTGCCTTTACAATATGGAAACTTGATCTATTTGATACCATAGTGATACCTTGTGAAAAATTTATAGAGAAAAATGCAATAAACTGTACTCTATTTAAAAAAGATTACTGGATGTTCCCCAAATGCAGAAGCAGGTCCTTTGACGTTCAACAAACATTTACCCCCTACCCATAATAATGATCTTTGCAATCTGCTTAAATGTAACATTGTTTAAGGAATCACTGTTCAGTTAGTGTAGTATGCCAGGGCATCAACTATAGTAGGAAACATAGGATAATTTGCATAACAGGCGAAGCCCGTTATGCAATACATCCCATGTTTCCCCATTGATACATCCTGGCATACTATATTAACTAGACAGTGATTCATTATATTTCCATTTCATTGTGAATAAAATTGTGCATTTACATTTTAAATATGTAGACACAGAATTTAAATTACACGAGAACTTCACTGCCAATTTCAATAGTCCTCGGCCACTGACGTCAAACGCAAAGGCAGTCTCACGAGATTTACCTGCATATTTGGCCTCCTTAGCGTCAGACACAGAGACAGATGCGCATTATGAGATTTGCATGCATATTAGGCCTCTTTAGCTCCTGACCTATCGACCTGCCTAATTTACATTCCGGTAGAATTAGCAAGAAATCAACTCTGCTAACTTTCAAAGAGTTGTCACAGAGAGAAAAATTAGAAATGGAAATATAAGTAAATCAATTTTAATTTGATTGATATTTATTTCATCTCAGTTGTTAAATATCATTTGAGAAAAATCTGAATTCACATATCTTGAAATTGCCAGAATATACCATTATCCCAGAATATCTTTAGTGCATAATGTAATGTGTTTTGAAATATCTTACTAATATGTACATGTTGCACTTTAGAAAATACGAATCTCATGAAGATTAATAAATTCTACAAGATAAATGCAGTATTGGATGTTTTGATTTCGGTATACCTGTGATGAATATCAATCAACTTTAATATTAAGTGCATGCACTATTTGAAGTCGTCTCATATTCAACTTGGACAGGGGCTTGATGTACATGTTCATATTTTATATCTTAACTTCTTTAAATCATACACGTTAAAATTACATCTTTCTTGTATTTTTGGATTTGGGCTCCCCACTTTTAAGTTTGTGACTACGCCTTTGAATATATATAATTCTTTATTCAATAACTTTAAGCCGTAGGCTCTTCAGTAAACAAAGACAAATGGCGAGATCTATCTAGAGACTGCGGGGTGGCTTTAGGCTTTAAAAAATCAAGGACTAACCCCCCCCCCCTCCACACGAAAGAGGTTTTTGACCTTAAGAAAAGAGTTTATTTTTTTTTTGCTTGTCAAAAAGCTTCTGAATTTGATTTTTTTTTGTCTGGGGTGGAACCCCTAGAAAAAATCCTGGATCCGCGTCTGGAGTGACTACTTAATGATATGCGTCTGTTTCTGGGTCAATATTTCGTCAGAATCTATGGCGGACGGTTAATGCGATATTAAGGTAGGTTGCGAATTTTCTTTTGTCATCAGTTTTAGTACATAATTTGGATGATTCGAGTGGTTGTTTTGAGCACATTTGATTTTAACGTCAGTTGCGTCATAAAAGCGAATATTCTTCTAAGAATCACTTTACATATAGAATCTAGTCCTTACGAACCGTGGAAAGTACAATAATGTTATTAAGTGCGTTACGAGTTCATCAAGGGGTCATCATGATAACAAAGGGAAGACCATTAACATAAGGGGACTTGTGATGAATTTTATAAAAAGATAATTTATGAAATATAAATGAAATGTACAACCAAAAATAAATCGAGTAAAGTCACATAAAACACAAGTGACGCTCACACAACATAATTTTAACGACCTTCACTCAAACTTCAAACACATTGCGTAATTATCATGCACACGTAAGTCACATGCATATAAGTCACAGGGTTGACACGAATTCCTTCAATATTTATTGAGTGAAAATTTCTTCTTTTGCTGTCTAAACATTAATTGTAAGATAAATGAATATGTTAAAAATAAATATAAAAAAAATCTTTTTATAAAATTAAATTCTATTACATTATAATGAAATTTTGTAAGGTTTACTTCTAGTATGTGACAATCCTTCGATCCATCTTCGAGAAAGACTCTGTCCAAAGAGTGTACAAATTATATTATCCGACCCTTTGTAAAGAAATTATCTCGGTAAAATTGGTTTAAAAACGTTGTTATCCATATATTTTAATAGTAAAGAGTAGAAGTAGTACAAAAAAACTATATATTCTGCGTTTACAGTAATATACTACTCTAGTAATAATTATCACCTAGGTAAACATAAGAATTGCTGGGAATTAAATTGGGTCGATATGTGATCAAATTTTCCGAGAAGGCCTTAGACCTTCACAGGATTTGATCACGTTACCAACCCAGATTCTTAGTGAAGTTTTTTAAAACTTGTTGTTTACTTCTTAAAGGATATTTATGCTGATCATCTTTGTAAGTTAATCAACTTCTTTCTTTTTTAATGATGGATAGTTAAATCTCTACTTTTTCTGCTGTGTTATAGAGTATTATGAAGATATATACATGTAAATACTGACCTTGACACATTAGTTAAAAAGATGCCGAAGTCAGATGATCCATTGATATCAGAGGAGGATCCTTTTGGAAATCAGGGGGTGGATGAGGAGGAAGAGGAGGAAATTGAGGAGTAATACATAAATAAATATACATATGTATATTTTGTAATTGTTTGAAGATCTATTAAAAGGCAAAAATTAAGCGCTTAAAATTAACTAAAATGATTATTCGAGTCATGATAAAATATCTTGATTTTTTTTTCATTGGATAATTACTATATGATTGTATGCACAGGCAATATTTGAACAGAACTTGTTTAGTAGACTACACCTGATGCAGAATTGTGCTTGATTTCAGACTTCTAGATGTGGAGTGCCAGGCCACCTCAGGGCTGGATATCCGTTACCCCCGCAGGAGAGGGAGATACAAACAAGCCATGAAGTCTTTGATACCTATCAGATTTCAGAAAACGTGAGATAATACATCTTCTGTGAAAAGTATATAACTTTATATGAAATGTCATTAACAACTCTATATGAATTAAGAGAAAGAAATCTTGAAGAATGATTATGTACAAGTTTTTATAAGATATTTGTGTATGTGTTGTTATTTTCTTAGAGTCATTATTTTAAAGATTGCAGGAAATCAGCCGATATTTTCTGAGGGCTACAATTCCACAGCATGTTCGTAGTTGTGCAAATATATTTTATGCCCCCTTCGGAAAAGAGAGGGCATATTGCGGCTACAATTCCACAGCATGTTCGTAGTTGTGCAAATATATTTTATGCCCCCTTCGGAAAAGAGAGGGCATATTGCTTTAATGCCTGCTGTCTGTCGGTCGGACTGTTTGTCTGTCTGTCAGCCCTCCAAGTTTCCATTCATTTTCTTCACAACCGTTGCTCAAAATGAAATTTGGTATACAGTAACAGATATATCATAAGTCATCATAAGAGTATCTAGGACAAGTTCTGTTTTGGGTACGATCGATTGCGAGGCAATTTTGACAGAGTTATGCCCCTTGGACATAGAAAAATTCCAATTATTTGCAGTTTCCGTTCATTTTCTTCACAGCTGATGCTCATATATACTGAAATGAAATTGACATATGCCTTCAAATTTATCATAAGAATATATAGGTCAAGTTCTGTTTTGGGTACGATAGCGTTATGCCTCTAAACGGACTTAGACAAATTCCAATTATTTGCAGCTTCCGTTCATTTTCTTGACAGAGGTTCGTATACAGATTCATCATGAGAATATCAGGACCAAGTTTTGTTTTGGGTACCATTGAGCAGTTCGGGACAGAGTTATGCCCTTGGACTTAGAAAAATTCCTATTATTTTGGGGGAGGAGGGGGGCGGGCAGGCACTTGTTTCGTATACCTGATACCCCGTACTTATTTTTACGTAGTAAAAATAAGTCGGGGATGCCCTTTTTACGGAACAAGCCTGTGGGGGGTGGGGGAGCAAAAGTGTTTTACACACATCTCTTGTTTAAATACTGGTGACTGCAGGCAAAATAAATTGTTTTTACACTCAATTTACTTTTTAAAAGACAAATTTTTAATTCACTGTCACATAGTTCGTTAAACGCAAAAACCTGATACTGATTTGCCTAAAATAACTTTGCTTGTTTTCCAGTCGAATCGATCTCATCAGAAGCCATCAGACAGGTCTCGCGTGATGCACTGAGATTTTGTGCTTGAAATTTAGAAAAACTTAACGAAGCAAATGTTGGGGTTACTAAATGATTGTGCTGTATGACATCAAAAACATTGATAAATAAAACTATTCCATGTGACATTTTTTTCGTAAACATCTATATTTATGCCTAAAGTAAGGTAATTTCTTTAGAGATCCGCTCCCTATAGATCCCTGCATGTAATCTCATTGGCTGTCCAAAAATAAAATCGATCAAGGTCAGTAAACATGGCGGATAAATTCAAGTGGTGATGTTGACATACGCAAAAAATAACCGATAAATGGATTGTTCTGAGTATTTTTGGAGTGATATATGTCTTACACAACTACATTTTTGGAGCATTGGTAAGAAATGTGTGTGGGAGTAAATCACTCCCAGCTTTACTTGCACCATTACCAGTCTTTGATTACGGAGATGCAAAGGAGTTGAAGCGGCCACACTCTCCCCCCACTCCTCCAAAGGAAGAGGGCTATATTATTGCAGCTATTTGTTTCTATGCCCAGGGTTAAAGACGCAAAGTAGCTAAAATAAAATCTCAGCGAGATGTCGTGGGGACTAAAAATTTTCGTCTGATCATGCTGACATTCACTAGGCCTACAGCGATGTCGTAGTGGACGTCAGGCCAAAATTTTTAGTCCCTAAATTCTCAGTGCTTAATTAAAGAAAAATAAGCAAATGTAGTTTCATTTTTCACACAAAAATGAAATTATTTATTAAAATATATAGTATGCCAGGGCATCAAAACCTAAATAAACAAATCATATCGCTCGGCAGGGTCTGTTTCCCACTATCGTTGATGCCCTGACATACTATACTAACTAGACACTGATTCCTTATATTTCCATTTCATTGTAAAATAAGATTGTTGATTGAGACTTTAAAAATGTAGACATAGATTTGAATTACATGACTCCCATGCGAATTTCATTAGTCTTCAAACCCACTGATGTCAAACACAAAGGCAACCGCAGGAGATTTACATGCATATTTGACCTGTGATTATTGCAGCGTCATGCCACAGAAAGACGCAAAGTAGCTAAAATAAAATCTCAGCGAGGTGCCGGATGCATAATTTTGGCCTCCCTACGTTCACTACAACGATGTCGACCTGCCTAATTTACATATCGGTAGAATTATCTGAAATAACTCAAATTAACTTTCAAAGGGTTATCATCGGAGAAAAAAAAATTATTTGTAACATAAACAGATAAAAGATGCCTCTGTCTGGAAATGTAATTTTTTTTACTTACTCTGTAGGCATAAGGATGAGTTACCAGAGGCAACTGCTGGCTTCTTTTCACTGTTGACCTATGCATGGCTGACTCCAATCATGTGGAAAATTAAAAGAAAAGGAACAGAATTTTTACAACACATGAGGTGTCCTGACGTCAACCGAGCAGAAATTAATGCAGAAAGGTATACTAGAGGCTTGTGAATGATTTTCTAGTTCATGCAAAAGCTCAAAGCTTTTTCAAGATATCATGTGGAAGCAAAAATATTACAGACAGACAGAAATACAGCTAGACAGAGGGATGGACAGACAGACCGAAATTAATATCCTCTACTTTGGGGGGAGGGGGGGGGGGGCAAAAATGGAATAAGATTTGAAAACCTAGCTAATGCAAGAGTGTGCTGGGAAAAGCTGAAAAATGTCTCTGGCACACTTTCTCTGTGAAGTTGACTCATTTATTTTCTGTGCAGAAAAATTAGATTTAAGCAATGGCATATTGTAGCAACACAACATAACCATTAAACACAACACTTGATGCATGAATTCAAAAAATTCTCCACTTTCAAACAAAACACACATTGACAGACGTTACCTGATTCAAATCTAGATTTTCGTAATACTTGTTTGCAAACCTGATCTATAATAATTATGTCATTTTAACATAAAAAGAGAGATTTTGAAAGTATAAGGTTAAGCATTCAACTTATTGTCAACTTAGTGAAAAGCAGTCAATTGATAGTCAACTGACCATTTTATGCAAATCAGTTGACAGTCAGCTTTTCAGAAAAGCATTCAACTGCTAGTGGTCAACTGTTTTCAAGTATTCAGTTGATGACTAGGCTTGACTACTACATGTAGATGATGGTCAACTAGACATTTTGGTATGGGGTATGAATTTTTTTTAAAGGCAAAAAATATAATCATAGTGGTGTGATATGGAGTGCCTTAGCAAATGGAGGTCACTGAAAAATTGTTAGAATTCTTTGTGGAATTTTTTTTTTAATATTAATGACTCCACTCTAAATTGTATAGGCTTGAGAGAATATGGAAGAGTGAATTGAAGAAAAAAGGTCCAGAAAAAGCATCATTTGGACAGGCTTTGTTGAAAGCTGGAAGGACCAGAGTTATTTTTGGAGGGATGACCTTCATCATTTCTATGACCTTCAGTTTTGCTGCACCGGTATGAACTTTTAAGTAAAGCATGCAATGTCAAGATGGAAAATTTCTATTTGTTATTTAATCATTAACAAACTTTTTCATGATTTACATTAATTACTTTTGGAGTTCATAATTTATTACTGAATTCCTTTGTTGTGCCAGGCCTTTGTGTTGAGGAGGATTTTAGATGACCTTTCAGCTGGTAACAGTGATATTGGCTTTGGAATCGGCCTGGTGATTCTCATGGCTGCCATGGAATTCTGTCGTTCCATGTTTTTAGCTCTTGGCTGGGTTATTAATTATACTACAGGTATGTGTCAGGACACAGAAAACAAATTTTTAGATTCACACCCCACCCTCCCTTTTTAGAGTGACCCCCTGCATTTGTTTCAGTGGTTTTAAATTTGAAATTATAAAAGCACCAGAAAAAAAAAAAGAAATTCAGTCAGCTTAAAAAATGTCAGAACATGTGTACAAGCCTTTTGGAGGTAATTTTGTAAATATAATTATTTAAAAGTGGAAAAATGATTTATATACATTTACATGTACATTACGGGGGTTGTCCAAAAAGTTTGTGGACAAGGGCATTTTTGTCAAAATGAATGGTTCAAAATATAATTATTATATACCAAAATATAAGTTTTAAAAATCGAAGCCGGAATAGTTGTTTTTTATTGTTTAAACTTCATATTTTTGAAAAAAATTGCTGTCATTAAAGGTCACTGATAGTTAGATACACTTTATATCGATTTTTGATTTTGATGAACAGGGTTAAGTTTCTGTGAAATACTTACACCTCCTACAGTTTTGGTCTGATTTATAAACCTTTAAATAAAGTATTGTGATTAAAATGATTATTTTCTTTATAAAACTAATCAAAGCTTAATAAAAATTAAATGTATCACAAATAAAGTGATTATCATAATTTTCTGATACCTTTAGTATCACTTATTATATAGACAGTGAGAATATTAAATTTCAAAAACTGCTACACCTCCTAAGTTTTGTCTGATTCAATAAATTGCACACAAGTAGACTACACTAAGACATTCTGACCATCCAAATGGGACAGCATCCATTTATATAATTTTTGTTCAGTATGGTTGAACCGACGTCAGACACAAAATATTTATTCAAATAACTTGAGATCATTGTCCTCGAATATATTTTGTCCATTGATTTGTAATTAGTGTACTGCATACAGGGAAATTTTCGCTCTTGTTTTATTTTCGCCCCTTTCGCCTTAACCTCAATTGGGCAAATTTAAAGTGGCGCGAATTCAAAGAATACAGTATCATTTCTTAAACAAAAAGTATTTCTGGATGAATTTAAGAAGGTATCTCCATTTCATTACTAAATTGATAAGAATACTTTAAAAATAAAATAAAATCACACACAAAAAGTCCTTTCTTTTCCAGTTAAATTTAAAAATTGAATTTATATAGCCTTATAATTGTTATCATTGGGATCAGTTAGAGTTCTTGCTTAAGGTCTTCCTGCTCTATACAGTTGAAATCCACTTGTGACACTGCTCTTTCGTTTGAGCACTACATTATTTTTCAGGAAAGGAGAGTTGCAAATTTCATTGAAAACGGTATTTGTTATGTCCAGATACTCCTGCCTGTGCCTCTGTTGAGGAAAGAATTAGAAAATTTCATTAATTTATTTTCATATTTAGAAATAATCATTCTGGTACCTCTGAGAATCGATTCTGGTACCCTCACCATGATAGTGAGATGCTTATCTCACAAAGCCATCGAAGCCGTTAACAGGTGGAGAATTTAATTAATATATCACTAATTCACTTGCCCTAAAATTCGCTCTCTCTCTCTCTCTCTCTATTTAATACTACTAATATATATATATATATATATATATATATATATATATATATATATATATATTTACTGTGTAATTTTATATATTTTTAAATTATGTATTGACAAACAATAATAACAAGCATTTAAAACAGTGGATTTTAAGCGGGTTAATAATACTCGTAGCACATCATGAATCCATTACTTTTAAGGAATGGAGCGCTACTTGTACATTAACCCTTACATATTGACACTTTGTTCTCCTGTTTCCATTCATTGAAATCACTCTTTGTAGGTATACGTATGAGAGGAGCTGTACTGAGCATGCTGTATGGAAAAATATTACGTCTTCGTGGTTTAAAAGACAAAACAGTTGGTGAAGTATGTTGTAATCAAACACTCAACATTCATGTTTCCAAGTATTTGTTTCTTTTTTTGTTTTGAAAACAACCATAGAGTAATATTTTCTTAACTCTTATATTTTTTAGGTAAACTCAGGTGTCCTATTGCTATCCATTTTCATCTGTCGTCGTGCATCGTCCTTCGTGTGTTAACATTTGAACATTTTCAGCTTCTTCTCTGCAACCACTCAACCAATTTCAACCAAATTTGGCATAAAGCATTTATCTATGAAGGGGAACAAACATTATGAATTTTATGGTCCTTGCCCCCCTGGGGCCTGAGGGGTGGGGCAAAAACCACTAAATTTAATGCAATCTTTAAAAATCTTCTTCTTTACTCCTGGACATCAAGCAGTCAAACTATTGGCATGATTGTAGTCAGCATTGAGTCCTCAACCAAAATTGTGAAATTCATGGTCAGGGTTTCTAGTGCTAGGGCGGGGTTCTGGCTTCAGGGGGGGCTCTAATGATTTCCATGCCCCCTGGGTCAGGGGGGGGGGGCTGAAAACAATCTAATGCTTTGAAATCTGCTCTTTGGTATTAATCAACCATTAATGATGAAATAAAATTTATGATAAAATTTCCAAAATTTTGAAATATGTGGCCCAGGGTCAGTGGTTCCTGTGGGGTGGGGTGCACAACTGATGGTTGTAAAGTGGAAATGCATTTTCTCTTTGTTACTCTGATCTACCTCTGGGTATTAAGTAACCAAAGTAAGCATGCTAAGTGTATAATTATGATAAGCCTTGAATGGTGCCTCTTTCAAAATTTTGAATTTCATGGCTTTTGGTTTAAAACACGAATCAAATTCAATTGCTGGATAGTTGTTACATGATACTCAGGTGACCTATAAGGTCCATGGGCCTCTTGTTTTTTGTTTAGAATCTGATTAATTTAGCAACTATATGACATTTACATAAAGCTTGATTATTAATCCAAAAATGCTTTCTATAACTTTCTTATCCATGTACATTCATATGAACTGATTCTTTTTTTATAATCACAAAAATACTGATTCCTGAAAAGGTATACATATACGTGTGTTATGAATTTTGAATATAACTCTTTCTGTACCTGTTTTAGCTTGTCAACATCTGTAGCAATGACGGACAGAGACTGTACGACGCCTTTATCACTGGTCCTCTTTTGATTGGTGCACCATTAATTTTATTGGGTGGAATTATCTACACGGCATTCCTGATTGGTCCATGGGCTTTTGTGGGCAGTGTTACATACATCATGTTTTATCCATTTATGGTAACTAAATTACATTTTCTGAAAATATTTTAATAGGTGGCATTATCAATGCCTTTCTGAGGAAAAATGTGTATGCTTGAAATCTATATTTTTTGGCCATTTTTATATATCAAAATGTGAAATGTACATTTTAAGTTAAAATGACACACAAGTGTACACTAAGATCATAATTCTGTATATCGGTTTTTGATTTCATAACGGTGTTGCACTAAAAATAGAATTTTTTAATGAAAATCCTGCTTTCCTACAGTTTTGGTCAATTTCAATAAGACTTGGTATACAAATAGATTATACTAAGATACATAATTCTGTGCATCGGTTTTGATTTCAATGAACGGTGTTGCCATTGTTACTAAAAATAGAAAAAATTTTGAAAATCATTCAAAATGCTTCTCCTCCTACAGTTTTAATCTGATTTCAATATAACTTGGCACACAAGTAGACTACACAAAGATTTTCTATGTATCGGTAAATTGTTGCCGTGGTTACTAAAAATAGAAAAAATTGTGAAAATCATTCAAAATGCTACTCCTCCTACAGTTTAAATCTGATTTCAGTATAACTTGGCACACAAGTAGACTACATTAAGATACATAATTCTGTAAAGCGGTTTTTGATTTCGATGAACGGTGCTGTCATTGTTACTAAAAATAGAAATTATAAAAAAAATACTTTCAAAATGCTACTGTTTTGGTCTGATTTTATTATAACTTGGCACACAAGTAGACTACACTAAGATACATAATTCTGTATATTGGTTTTTGATTTCAAAGAATAGTTTTGCCGTTGTTACTAAATGTAGAAAATTCTTTGAAAAACATTCAGAATGCTACTCCTCCTACAGTTTAAATCTGATTTCAATATAACTTGGCACACAAGTAGACTACACTAAGATACATAATTCTGTGTATAGGTTTTTGTTTCAATTAATGGTGTTGCTGTTGTTACTTAAAAAAGAAATTTCTTTGAAATAAATTTAAAATGCTACTCCTCCTTCAGTTTTGGTCTGATTTCAATATAACTTGGCACACAAGTAGACTACACTAAGATACATAATTCTGTATATCGGTTTTTGTCATTATTCTATTTATTGCTTTTGTAAAGTTTTATATCCCAACTGCTACTTTTCTCTTTCTTTATTATAAGTACAAACCAGTAGAGCTTCAGTCTCGACAGAGACTTCTGGTTATATATCAAAATGTGAAATGTACATTTTAAGTTAAAATGATGTCAAAGATCACCAGTATTTATAAGCAAGCCTGTTTTGGCAAGGCCAGTAAAAATTAACATTGATGTTTGATATTAGTGCAGTATTTAATTGTGATATTTCAGGCTTTTATTGGTAAATTTACAGCTCATTATAGGAGAAAAGGAATTGTCATTACAGATAAGCGAGTAAGCATGAATACTTCATTAACTGTTCTCTATGTATCTGAAAACTCTCCAAAGTTATCATATCTACAGTGGCCCCTTTATTGAATTCATAGAATTGAAAATTTTCTTACTAATTTTAGCTCTTTCATTTAAAAAAATATGTCTAATAGGAGGAAAAAAGCTGTTTGATAATAACATGCATAGCTGAATATTTGTAAGCTCACCTGAGCCAAAGGCTCATGTGAGGTTTTCTGATCGAGATTTGTCTGTTGTCTGTCGTTGTTGTCAAAAACTTCACATTTTCATCATCTTCTCAAGAATCACTGAGCCAATTTCAAGCAAACTTGCCACAAAGCATCCTTAGGTAAAGGGGATTTAAGTTTGTTCAATGAAGGACCACACCCTGTTTCACGAGGAGATAATTCAGAAATAGTAAAATTTTGATGGTGTCTTAAAAATCCTCTTCTCAAAAATCACCAGGCCAAAAAATCTCTAACTTAAAGTAAACCTTCTATGCATAGTATAGATTCTAATTTATTCAATCCATGACCCAGGGGTGGGGTGGGGCAACAATGGGAGATAAAAGTTTTACACAGAAATAAATAGAAAAAATTCTTTAAAAATCTTCTTCTCAAGAACAGCATAGCCATGATTAGTCATATTGACATTGAAGCATCATCAGGTAATATTTACATTTCCAATGTCTTTGTCCGAGATAAAATTACCAAATGTAAATGTACTTTAAAATGTATTGGCGCGGTTCTGTGCAGGGCGGGACAAACAGCTAGACAGAAGCTGGGCTTGGAGCATGTGGATTTGCGGAATCAAAGCATGTAAATATAAGGAATAACTGTCAGAATTTTCAATTTCATGAAGATGATCAATCGATTGGCTTGCGTGATAATTTTATGCATAAACGCCTTCGGCGTTTATGCAAATTATCACACAAGCCAATCGATTGATCACTTCATGAAATCGAAAAATAAGACAGTTATTCCTTAAGTGTATGTAAGTTTGTTTGAATAATGACCTGCAGGGGTAAGGTGAGGGCACAATGGGGGGTCAAAGTTTTATATAGCTATATATAGGAACTATTTTCAAAAAGGTACCCTTCTATAAAAATAGTGATCTGACCTATAGGGCTGGGACTACAGGTTTAAATTGTCTTTACAAAAAGCTTATCCATTTACATTGACCCTCCAGGGTTAGTAAGGAGGAGCCACAACGGGAGATCAAATTTTTTAAAGGAATATATATAGGGAAAAAAATTTTCAAAAGAAAATCTTTAAAAATCTGATGATATAGAACAACAAAGCCATATTTAAAACTGTTAAATTGAAATGAAATCTTCCTCAATTTGTGTTAAATTTAAATTTGCCATCAACCCCCCCCCCCTCCCCCCACCCTAAACTTTCCAATGCTGAAATGTTTTGCACTTTTTCATATAAAATGTGCTCAGGTGAGCGATGTAGCCCTGTAGCCCATCGGCCTCTTGTTTAACTTTTTAGGTGAGGATGATGACAGAATTACTAAATTGTATCAAATTAATTAAGATGTATGCTTGGGAAAAGTCATTTGCCAAAACCATTGCAGGTAATCAAGATTTCAATGAAATCTCACAGTTTTTCAGAGGGTTCAATGAAATTTTGAACTGTTTATTGTCATCAAACTATCTGTACTTGTTGACTAAAAAGTGAAAATTTTTGTTTATAATAATTCATTGTTTAAAGAACATTGATTTTGATATTCTTGTATACAGAGATCCCTACTTGTAGGTATCAGGAGTCGGGAGAGAAAAGTGCTGGAGAAGGCAGCGTACATCAACAGTATCAGTACCTCAGTGGCCCCTATGGTCCCCGTCATGGCCTCTGTGTTTGTCATTACGGCCCATGTCATGACAGGGAATCCCCTCTCAGCAGCTCAGGTAGGCACATGGAAAAAACAGGAAGCTAATCAGGGGCCTGTTTTACAAAAGAACTTATGACTAAGACCAAAAATTAATACTGCATATAACTCACTTATATTCAATATTTTGAGAATGATTTTTGTTTTTTCAAAAAGGAATATAGGAATTAAAGATATTTTAAATCTAGCAATTTTAAACAAAATCATTAATTCTGCAAAATTTTACAATCAACTGAAGTTTTTGGTCTTAGTTTTAAGTTCTTTTGTAAAATGGGCCCCTTACTACAATAATAAAAGGACCAATTCAAAGTATCATAACATAAAAAAAAAGAATTGTTTCAAATACTGTAGAAGTACATTTTTCCGCGTGGTATTAATTTACGCTATGTACGCGATCACAAATTTTCCGCGGAAATTTGTCCAAGCGTACTTAATGTAAGGCATATAATGACAATCTAAAAAGTCCACGTAATTTTTTACCCGCGGATTAAAAGAAGAAATTGTTTCAAATAGCCAATTGAACTACATAATTCCCTTAGGCACATGTCTCTGCACTTGGAAAAAAAAATATCCTTGCCAAATGGTCATGAAGCCTGGGCCACATGACATTTTTTATCGTTTTTGTCTGTCTCGTGTTGTCCATAAACTTTTTCAATGCAAATTTCACCCTCCTTCCTCCTCCAGTGAAAGGCACGATTGATCATACATCGCATGGAAATACATGTATCTTGCATATTAAGCCTTGTGCTAAAATTCTGATATTCTTTAGCCCAAGGTACAGGGTTTTGTCCCCAGCTTAGAGATAGCCTAGAAATGTTAATTCAAAATACATAAAATACAGGAATAAAGAAAATCTTTTGAAGACCTTCATCCATTACCAGACCCAACATAATTGCACTTACACCCCCTTTTCCCATTATATCCTTGAAGGTTATAGTAAGGCAAGGCTGAGGTCACCATACTGAAAGTATGAATTCCTCTGGGGCAGTCATTTTTTAGCACCAATAAAAACTTGCACATGACTCTTAGGTTGCTCTCGAAGTCTTCAGATGTATGGAAATGCTTTTATACTCAGGTGACTTTCAAGGTCCATAGGCCTTTTTGTTATGATTCTATAATGTATATTTCTTTACTTGATACACGTTTGAGGAGTGGAATGAACAAACACATGGATTTGATTGGATTTGATTTGATTGTTTATAGGTATGTTTGTACACTATCGTTTGAAAGTTTCAGTTTATTTATTGCATTAATATGAAGTTTTAATGTAATGTTTTAGGCCTTTACAATGATAGCAGTGTTTAATGCAATGAGATTATCTCTGGGGAACATTCCTTGTGCTGTCAAGGCTTTAGCTGATGCTTATGTATCCATGAAGAGGTTCAAGGTAAAAACAGAATAGTAACTATAAAAAAAATACTGTAAATGTATTATATTTAGCGTGTACAATATTTGGCAGAAATTGACTTTTTAATAAGTTAGCATAGATTTGATTTAGCACAATTCTTCATACCTTTATTTAAATGTATATGTGCAAGACATTTAGCTTTGTACTTGATTTAGCGGTTGCTGTGTTCTGCCAAAGCCGCTAAAAAAAATACACAGCCAAATGTAATACGTTTACAGTATTTCACCTGTCCAGGTGCATCGCACAACTTCACTCTGCAATCTGTATGTCTTGGAATAAAAATCTTCCATTTAAAGATTATATGGGAGGTTTTTTTCGCCACGAGATATTAACTTCTGAAGAATTATGCTTCCATAATTTTTAATCTGCCACAGAAATAAAATTTGTTTAAAAGATTCCTTGTAATATCAAACATTACCTTTCATGTGAAAATACAGCATTGTAAGGGAGAATGTGTGCTTTGACAACTGAATTGCATGGCTGCTGGCAGGCTGAGTAACCCAGAAACAAGAAGCCTTTAAAAAATTTAAACAACTTCATTCCACTATATTCTAGCTAGCTCTTTTCTTTTTGGTTTTGTTTTGGTAGCTATTATCAACAAATTAAAACCAGTTTTAAACCACATGGCTCAGCTAGTCAAGCAATTGTCTGAAGTCAAAGTTTGTTCTGAAAGGGTTAAAGTACTTCATTTAATTCTGACAGTAACGATAGCCTAAAAGTTCGAAAAAAAGCCAGAATTGATGATAAACATACCGGGGAGTGGTAATACAAGGTTGCTGTAGGGAAGTAAGCTACAACATCAGTATATCTGCATATTTCAGCACAAATGTGCATTCATAGCTATTAACTGATATCATGAAATTTAGGTCATTGACTTTAGAAAATTTATTTTCATGTAGTTAAGTTATTTCCAATAGGCTTATCTGAACACTTCTAATGCTTGCCAGTTCTTCATCCATAATTCATTGCTAAAAACATATACTAATGAATCCAGAAAATGCAAAATTTTGATCATATTACATGTACTAATTTCCTTCCACATACTCCTATATCAAATACATTAAGTTACATATTTGTCATAGACTCATATTTGTCTAGACTTCTAGCTGTTTGCTAGTTGACTGTATCATCATCAATGTAATGTACAGTTGAACTTTGTTATCTAAAACACTGTTAGATCGGATACCAGTCCTCAGGATCATGAAAGATCTTAAGCTTAAGACAAAAACTTTATCTTGTATTGAAATGTTGTAGTATTCAGATAGTCCAAAATGAAAACAGCAATTCGGAGATGCAATTAATTAAATAATACAATATAAGTTCAACACTGTTGAACTTTGTTATCTAAAACACTGTTAGATCGGATACCAGTCCTCAGGATCATGAAAGATCTTAAGCTTAAGACAAAAACTTTATCTTGTATTGAAATGTTGTAGAATTCAGATAGACCAAAATGAAAATATATTGTATTATTTAATTAATTGCACCTCCGAATTGCTGTTATCCGCAAATATAGAAATTTCATTGACTATTGATAAATATAACCCTCCAATTTTGACTGTCCAAGCAGTGCCTTATTATTTTGAATTGACCATAAAAGATATTCCAGTTACAAAATTTTTAAATTTTGTGTATAAAATGTTTATTAATTATTGACAGAGTATAATCAATATTTAGCTTAATTTATGTTGCCATTAAATTGTTGGAAAGCAATATTTTTATTTTTATTGATATATAACAGATTGTTGTAAGCAGTAATTTTATTTTCGTTTTTTGCTTTATGAATAGGAGATTCATTCCCAGATTAACAATAAAGTTTGCCATAGTGATAAAAAACATTTTTATTGTTGTCTAAGGGCTTCACAGAAAACAGTTAATTTTTCCACATTTTTTCTAGTACAAATGTTAAATTTTGACTTAATTGAGCCATCGGAAAATCACACACATTTGGGACTGGGATTTTCATGTGATGCAAAGTGGAAATCTGGCAGTCTTACTTAAAAAAGCACTTTGTTCAAACAATTTTTTTAACCCTCCTTATTTTGTATTTTCAGAAAAGGAGTATCTTTATTGAAGTTCAAATTTGCAAGTTAGTGAGAGTGAACTCATCAAGTTTTTATATGATGAACAAAGTTTGACTATATTTAGTTTACCATTTTATTTAGCTGGTAAGAGATAACCCTCCAATTTTGACTGTCCACATTTAGCCTGAGTGCCTTATTATTTTGAGATTGATCATTCAAAAGATATTCCAATTACAAAATTTAAATGTAAATTTTGTGTAATAAAAGCAATATTTAGTGTTATTTAAGTTGCAATATGACAGAGTATAAGAAACAATATTTAGCTTAATTTATGTTGCCATGTAATAAATTGTTGGAAAGCAATATTTTTATTTTTATTGATATATAACAGATTGTTGTAAGCAGTAATTTTATTTTCGTTTTTTGCTTTATGACATATGTTGTTTTTTTTTCCTTTTCTATCTTTACTCATGTCTTCTTTTGATGTGTCTGAGGATATATAAACCTGTTACTATATGTGTATTAATTAACCACACACTTCCCAGATTAACAATCCAAAGTTTGCCATAGTGATAAAGAAGGCGTGTTTTGCCTGGGACCCAGAAGTCTCGGTACAGAGTCTTGGACTACTGGATGTCCAGATCACAGGTAAGGGCTTATAAATGTAAGACCATTAACAATTATTGCTGTCAGTAAATTTTATTAGACTAAGAGCAGGAATTAAAACTTCACTAAAAGATTTTAATTAAGTGTTAATTGATTCTTTTGCTTTTTTGCATGACAGTCCTTTAAATGCTAATGACAAACAACTAGAATTTAAGATTTCTAAATACACTTGATGCACTAAACTACATTTTCCAAAACTCAGTTGAACTTTCATGAGGTTTTCTCATCACTTTAATACACTGTTATCTCAAATATAATAAATTTGTCAACAAGAACTTCCAGTCACTTCTTTTTGTAATTTTTGCTGCAAGTTGTACTCCATTTTCAGAAAAGCTGACTGTATATCAGGGTATATTTTTCCTCAATACTTTGCAATATCATAATTTTAGATCCATTTGCTTACCTATATTGTTTTGGTATTTTTGGTATCATGCCCTTTAGATGTGTGACATATATTGTGAAACTTCCAAACTTTAGCCCCATTTTAAATTCTCCCAGTCATAGTTCTGTTTAATAAATTATACTGTATTCTTTGCATTCACCCCGTTTTAAATTCGCAAAATAACGAAGGTCGGGCGAAAGGGGCGAAAATAAAACGGGGGCGAAATTTTCGAGGCATACAGTAAATTCTCAATATCTCAAATCCTTGATGAGATTTTCCTCGGTCCCATCGAGTTCAGGATAACAAGTTCTGACTGTAGTAAAGTACATTCCATCCGATTTTTTGCTAGAAGGTGCTATGACCATTTGTGTAATTTTCAGTGCCTAATGGAAAACATGTGATTAAAGATGAAGAAAAAGAAGGCCTAAATAAGAACACAGAGGGGGATGAATTTGTAGCTCCTCCCACCCTCCTAGCTATTGATCTGACACTAGAAAAGGTACGGGAAGCAATGCAAGGGACATAACTCTTACAATAGACATTGAAAGTAAAAATTGATATAATAGTTACAGGGTAATATTAATTTGATGATTTTTTTTTTGACAGGGTAAGCTGATAGGAGTTTGTGGGAGTGTAGGATCAGGGAAGAGCTCCTTAATATCAGCCATATTAGGAAGGGTAAGTTTAGATTTTGTGTAGGATCAGAGAAGAGCTCCATTAAATATCAGCCATATTAGGAAGGGTAAGTTCTTATTTTGTGTAGGATCAGAGAAGAGCTCCTTAATATCAGCCATATTAGGAAGGGTAAGTTCAGATTTTTTATATGTATAAAATCAGGGAAGAACAAATTGATACTGACCATATTAGAAGAAGGTTATTTTTCAAAAATGTTGACAGTTTTCAAGCATCAGATGAAGACTGACAATTTTAATAAATGTTTTAGAACATTGGATCAAACATGAAATTTCTTTATAGAAAAGATGATTTAAATTTTCTTTTCCACTATAGATGGTGAAAACCTCAGGTAAAGTGGCAGTAGGGGGAAGTATAGCCTATGTCTCTCAACAGCCCTGGATACTGAATGCCACCATCAGGGAGAACATCCTGTTTGGGGAGATGTACCACGAAGACAGGTCAGTGTCACAGAAACTAGGACTGATAAGACAATAGATATCAATGTCACAGAAGCTAGGACTGATAAGACAACGGATATCAATGTCACAGAAGCTAGGACTGATAAGACAATAGATATCAATGTCACAGAAGCTAGGACTGATAAGACAACAGATATCAATGTCACAGAAACTAGGACTGATAAGACAACAGATATCAATGTCACAGAAGCTAGGACTGATAAGACAACGGATATCAATGTCACAGAAGCTAGGACTGATAAGACAATAGATATCAATGTCACAGAAGCTAGGACTGATAAGATAACAGATATCAATGTCACAGAAGCTGACTGATAAGACAATAGATATCAATATTATACTTTCATGTAAATTACTTGAATCTGATTCGTCGAGAAACATTTGATAAAAAACACTACTACCCGCTGAATAATGAAGCCACGCCCTCCTGCGTAGCAACAGTCAACATTGCTTGATGACGGGTGGTATTACAAAAAATAGCGACTGCGCGGAATTTATGCGAGCACGGTTAACTGTAATATGTATTTGTACAAAACATTCTGTATAATATAATAAATATTGCATGTAGTTGAGTGTAACATTAAAAATTTTCACCCCTCGAAATTCATTATCAACCTTAGTTGCGCCTCGGTTGACAATGGTTTTCTTGGGGTGAAAATTTTCAATGTTACACTCAACTACATGCAATATTTATATAATGTCACAGAAGCTGACTGATAAGACAACAGATATCAATGTCACAGAAGCTAGGACTGATAAGACAACAGATATCAATGTCACAGAAGCTAGGACTGATAAGACAATAGATATCAATGTCACAGAAGCTAGGACTGATAAGACAATAAATATCAATGTCACAGAAGCTAGGACTGATAAGACAACAGATATCAATGTCACAGAAGCTAGGACTGATAAGACAATAGATATCAATGTCACAGAAGCTATCACTGATAAGACAATAGATATCAGTGTCACAGAAGCTATCACTGATAAGACAACAGATATCAGTGTCACAGAAGCTAGGACTGATAAGACAACAGATATCAATGTCACAGAAGCTATCACTGATAAGACAATAGATATCAGTGTCACAGAAGCTATCACTGATAAGACAACAGATATCAGTGTCACAGAAGCTAGGACTGATAAGACAACAGATATCAATGTCACAGAAGCTAGGACTGATAAGACAACAGATATCAATGTCACAGAAGCTGACTGATAAGACAATAGATATCAATGTCACAGAAGCTAGGACTGATAAGACAATAGATATCAATGTCACAGAAGCTAGGACTGATAAGACAATAGATATCAATGTCACAGAAGCTGACTGATAAGAAAACAGATATCAATGTCACAGAAGCTAGGACTGATAAGACAATAGATATCAATGTCACAGAAGCTAGGACTGATAAGACAATAGATATCAATGTCACAGAAGCTAGGACTGATAAGACAATAGATATCAATGTCACAGAAGCTGACTGATAAGACAATAGATATCAATGTCACAGAAGCTGACTGATAAGACAATAGATATCAATGTCACAGAAGCTAGGACTGATAAGACAATAAATATCAATGTCACAGAAGCTAGATAAGACAACATATATAAATCTCACAGAAGCTGACTGATATCAATGTCACAGAAACTAGGACTGATAAGACAACAGATATCAATGTCACAGAAGCTAGGACTGATAAGACAACAGATATCAATGTCACAGAAGCTAGGACTGATAAGACAATAGATATCAATGTCACAGAAGCTAGTGATAAGACAATAAATATCAATGTCACAGAAGCTAGGACTGATAAGACAACAGATATCAATGTCACAGAAACTAGGACTGATAAGACAACAGATATCAATGTCACAGAAGCTAGGACTGATAAGACAATAGATATCAATGTCACAGAAGCTGACTGATAAGACAATAGATATCAATGTCACAGAAGCTATCACTGATAAGACAATAAATATCAATGTCACAGAAGCTGACTGATAAGACAATAGATACCAATGTCACAGAAGCTGACTGATAAGACAACAGATATCAATGTCACAGAAGCTGACTGATAAGACAATAAATATCAATGTCACAGAAGCTGACTGATAAGACAACAGATATCAATGTCACAGAAGCTGACTGATAAGACAATAGATATCAATGTCACAGAAGCTGACTGATAAGACAACAGATATCAATGTCACAGAAGCTGACTGATAAGACAACAGATATCAATGTCACAGAAGCTGACTGATAAGACAATAGATATCAATGTCACAGAAGCTAGGACTGATAAGATAACAGATATCAATGTCACAGAAACCAGGACTGATAAGACAACAGATATCAATATATAGGGACATGTATCTGGTGTTATTTTATTGTTGTTTTGTAGATACAATGCCACCATTGAAGCATGTTGTCTACAGGAGGACCTGGAAACCTTTGTATCTGGAGATGAAACAGAGGTATATCAGCATTGTAAATATAATTAAATCTTACTTAAAATGTATATTTATATGTCCTTATTTAGATCTCCTTTTTTAAATACAAAATAATCAGTTTGCCAGTCACATATCTGTAGAAATTATGCTCCAGCTGCTTGCTTGCTTTCATTCTCTGCATTTACAGATATATTGAGATTCACATGACCACACAGATAAATGCATGAAATAAGATGCCCCAAGGAACCTGCAACATTTTAGAAAAGATATGAGACTGTGTAGGAGCTGAGGTGCATTGCATCTAAGTAACTGAGAGGCCTTAGGAATCTGTTTCTCTATCTTGTTTCTCTGTATACATATCTGCTACTGCATTAAATGGCTTATTTTCCTTAGGGTTTCAAAACAAGATCTAAATTTTGTTGTATGCATTAAGTTTTATGTTTGTAAAATACAGATTGGTGAGCGTGGTATTAATATGAGTGGTGGACAGAAACAGAGATTGTCTCTGGCCAGGGCCCTGTATGCTGATAAAGACATTTATCTAATGGATGATCCCCTCTCAGCAGTAGATATACACGTGGGCAGACACATCTTCACAGAGTGTCTCCTCAAAGCACTGAAAAATAAAACTGTCCTGTTTGTTACACATCAACTTCAGGTATGTAAAGACATGTATGTAAAGCATGTCTTTACAAGTATTCATGTGAATAAGTGAATTTTAATTTTTGCTTTAATCAGGTACCGCTACCTGAGTTTTTTTTAAAAATATCTCTGTTTTCCACTTATAGTACCTGAGTTCCTGTGATGGGATCATTGTCATCAAGGATGGGATGATCACAGAGCAAGGAAAACATGAGGATCTGATGAAACAAGAGGGGGAGTACTCCAGCCTCATCAACAGATACTACAAACAAAAGGAGGAGGAGGAAAAGGTGGAAGGTGAGTCAACAGGTATTACAAACAAAAGGTGAAGGTTAGTCAACAGGTACTACAAACAAAAGGTGAAGGTAAGTCAACAGGTACTACAAACAAAAGGTGAAGGTAAGTCAACAGGTACTACAAACAAAAGGTGTAGGTAAGTCAACAGGTACTACAAACAAAAGGTGAAGGTAAGTCAACAGGTACTACAAACAAAAAAAGGTGAAGGTGAGTCAACAGGTACTACAAACAGAAGGAGGAGGAGGAAAAGGTGGAAGGTGAGTCAAGAGGTATTGCAAACAAAAGGTGAAGGTACAAACAAAACAAAAGGTGAAGGTAAGTCAACAGGTACTACAAACAAAAGGTGTAGGTAAGTCATCAGGTACTACAAACAAAAGAAGGTGAAGGAGAGTCAACAGGTACTACAAACAAAAGGTGAAGGTAAGTCAACAGGTACTACAAACAAAATGTGAATGTGAGTCAACAGGTACTACAAACAAAAGAAGGTGAAGGTGAGTCAACAGGTACTACAAACAAAAGGTGAAGGTGAGTCAACAGGTACTACAAAAAAAAGAATGAGGTGGGTCAACAGGTACTACAAACAAAAGGTGAAGGTGACTCAACAGGTACTACAAAAAAAGGTGAAGGTGAATCAACAGGTACTACAAACAAAATGTGAATGTGATTCAACAGGTACTTCAAACAAAGGGTGAAGGTGAGTCAACAGGTACTACAAACAAAAGGTGAAGGTAAGTCAACAGGTACTACAAACAAAAGGTGAAGGTAAGTCAACAGGTACTACAAACAAAAGGTGAAGGTAAGTCAACAGGTACTACAAACAAAAGGTGAAGGTGATTCAACAGGTACTACAAACAAAAGGTGAAGGTAAGTCAACAGGTACTGCAAACAAAAGGTAAAGGTGAGTCAACAGGTATTACAAACAAAAGGTAGAAGGTGAGTCAACAGGTACTACAAACGAAAGGTGAAGGTGAGTCAACAGGTACTACATACAAAAGGTGAAGGTGAGTTAACAGGTACTACATACAAAATGTGAATGTGAGTCAACAGGTGCTACAAACAAAAGGTGAAGGTGAGTCAACAGGTACTACAAACAAAAGGTGGAGGTGAGTTAACAGGTACTACATACAAAATGTGAATGTGAGTCAACAGGTGCAAAAGAAAGGTGAAGGTGAGTCAACAGGTACTACAAAAAAAAGGTGAAGGTGAGTCAACAGGTACTACATACAAAATGTGAATGTGAGTCAACAGGTGCTACAAACAAAAGGTGAAGGTGAGTCAACAGGTAGTACATACAAAAGTAGTGATCCTTGTCAGCAAATGATCAAAAATAAACCAAAAGAAAAACTGCCTTTAAGTAAATTTTTTTTTTTATTTAATATACTGAAAGGTCTAAGAATCAAGATATTTATAATGTTTATGTACTGGAGTATTTAATTTGACTATATTTGTCATTTTTCTAGTAGTTGAAGTACACTTTTCTTCAGAAAGTTAAATACAATATGATATAGAATAGCCATCATCATTTGAATTTTGTAATTATACATATTTTGCATTTCAATATTAAACTGTGTCTTTTCATGTCATGGCTTTAATTATCAAATTTACTTTGAAGACCCAACATCACCTTCAAGCCTCAAGGAAAAGCCACCATTGCATAATGGGAACTGTTATAATAACCGTAACAGGACATCCTCTGTGAAATCTGGGGAATCCGAGCTGTCCATGAGTCCAAAGTCACAGTCAGGGGTACTGGACTCAGGGGGTAGAGATCCCCCAGGGGTGGATAAACAGGTGTCTGTCATCAGCAACACACAGGAGGAGAAAACAAACAGTAAGATCAGGGCATTTTACCCGATAATTATATTTTGCTTCTACTATATCTTTAATGCATGAAATACTTTCTTTGTTTTAATGTACAAAAAGAATTGTGACATTGAATCATCACTTCCTAGTGTCAATGTAATGGTACTGTCAGATACATGTATGTAGATACATTCATGCACAAAAATGTACATGTGATAGATAATAAATCTATGAAAAATATAAATTCATAATTTGTTTTCAGTTGATGTAATTTAAAAAAAAAAAATTCTGATCATAAATTGTTTCTTGTTTACCTTCCTTTCAGAGGGAAAACTGATTGTAGCAGAGGAAACTAGAAAAGGGAAAGTGAATTTCCATACTTATGGCACCTACATGAAGGCAGCGGGGGGATTTATTGTGTGTTTTGTTGTTCTGTTGGTCTACATCATCAGTATAGCTGTGTCAACAGGAACTAGCTGGTGGTTGTCTTACTGGTTACAACAGGGAGGAGGGGTGAGTTATCTTACTGTTATAACAGGGAGGAGGGGTGAGTTATCTTACTGTTATAACAGGGAGGAGGGGTGAGTTATCTTACTGTTATAACAGGGAGGAGGGGTTAGTTATCTTAGTGTTATAACAGGGAGGAGGGGTGAGTTATCTTACTGTTACAACAGGGAGGAGGGGTGAGTTATCTTACTGTTATAACAGGGAGGAGGGGTGAGTTATCTTACTAGTTACAACACGGAGGAGGGATGAGTTATCTTACTGTTATAACAGGAAGGAGGGGTGAGTTATCTTACTGTTATAACAGGGAGGAGGGGTGAGTTATCTTACTGTTATAACAGGGAGGAGGGGTGAGTTATCTTACTGTTGTAGCAGGGAGGAGGGATGAGTTACCTTACTGTTATAACAGGGAGGAGGGGTGAGTTATCTTACTGTTATAACAGGGAGGAGGGGTGAGTTATCTTACTGTTGTAGCAGGGAGGAGGGATGAGTTATCTTACTGTTATAACAGGGAGGAGGGATGAGTTATCTTACTGTTATAACAGGGAGGAGGGGTGAGTTATCTTACTGTTATAACAGGGAGGAGGGGTGAGTTATCTTACTGTTATAACAGGGAGGAGGGATGAGTTATCTTACTGTTATAAGAGGAGGGGTTAGTCTCTTACTGTTATAACAGGGAGGAGGGGTGAGTTATCTTACTGTTATAACAGGGAGGAGGTTTGAGTTATCTTACTGTTATAGCAGGGAGGAGGGATGACTTATCTTACTGGCTAAAACAGGGAGGAGGGGTAACTTATCTTACTGTTATAACAGGGAGGAGAGTTGAGCTATCTTACTGTTACAACAGGGAGGAGGGGGGAGTTATCTTACTGGTATAACAGGGAGGAGGGGTGAGTTATCTTACTGTTACAACAGGGAGGAGGGGGGAGTTATCTTACTGTTATAACAGGGAGGAGGGGGAAGTTATCTTACTGTTATAACAGGGAGGAGGGGTGAGCTATCTTACTGTTATAACAGGGAGGAGGGGTTAGTTATCTTAGTGTTATAACAGGGAGGAGGGATGAGTTATCTTACTGTTATAAGAGGGAGGAGGGGTAAGTCATCTTACTGTTATATCAGGGATGAGGGGTGAGTTATCTTACTGTTATAACAGGGAGGAGGGGTGAGTTATCTTACTGTTATAACAGGGAGGAGGGGTGAGTTATCTTAGTGTTATAACAGGGAGCAGGGGTGAGTTATCTTACTGTTATAACAGGGAGGAGGGGTGAGTTATCTTACTTTTTTAACAGGGAGGAGGGATGAGTTATCTTACTGTTATAACAGGGAGGAGGGGTGAGTTATCTTACTGTTATAACAGGGAGGAGGGGTGAGTTATCTTAACAGTTATCTTACTGTTATAACAGTGAGGAGGGGTAAGTTATCTTACTGTTATAACAGGGAGGAGGGGTGAGTTATCTTACTGTTATAACAGGGAGGAGGGGTGAGTTATCTTACTGTTACAACAAGGAGGAGGGGTGAGTTATCTTACTGTATCTTACTGTTATAAGGAGGGGGGGTTATCTTACTGGGGAGGAGGGGTGAGTTAGGGGTGAGTTATCTTACTGTTATAACAGGGAGGAGAGTTGAGCTATCTTACTGTTATAACAGGGAGGAGGGGTGAGTTATCTTACTGTTATAACAGGGAGGAGGGTTGAGTTATCTTACTGTTATAAAAGGAGGGATGAGTTATCTTACTGTTATAAGAGGGAGGAGGGGTGAGTTATCTTACTGTTATAACAGGGAGGAGGGGTGAGTTATCTTACTGTTATAACAGGGTGGAGGGGTGAGTTATCTTACTGTTATAACAGGGAGGAGGGGTGAGTTATCTTACTTTTGTAACAGGGAGGAGGGATGAGTTATCTTACTGTTATAACAGGGAGGAGGGGTGAGTTATCTTAGTGTTATAACAGGGAGGAGGGGTGAGTTATCTTACTGTTATAACAGGGAGGAGGGGTGAGTTATCTTACTGTTATAACAGGGAGGAGGGGTGAGTTATCTTAGTGTTATAACAGGGAGCAGGGGTGAGTTATCTTACTGTTATAACAGGGAGGAAGGGAGAGTTATCTTACTGTTATAAGAGGGAGGAGGGGTAAGTTATCTTACTGTTATATCAGGGAGGAGGGGTGAGTTATCTTACTGTTATAACAGGGAGGAGGGGTGAGTTATCTTAGTGTTATAACAGGGAGGAGGGGTGAGTTATCTTACTGTTATAACAGGGAGGAGGGGTGAGTTATCTTACTGTTATAACAGGAGGGATGATGTGCCTGTGTGTAAGTGAGTGTTTGCTTAAGGGAAGTTAATCAAAAAATATTTATATTGAGATCAGTGCTCTTTTTGTGAGGGGATGCTCTGCTTACCAACAGCCTTGGTTTTGGGGCTATTTGCAATCCAAACTTTGTACCAGTAATTAAAATTTAATGGAAAATCAAATATGAAATACTCTTTTTTTTCACAGAATACAACAATTATTGGCAATGTTACTGTGAAGAATATGAATATACAAGACAATCCAGAGCTAGATTTCTATGCTCTGATCTACGGACTGGGTGTCATTGCTGTGGTGGTGTTTACTGTATTCAGAGCCTTTCTTTTTATGAAGGTAAAAATAATAAAAATTTAAAAATATGAACAAAGCTACATATGTAGTGCATTTAATGTATAATGCACAGTGTACTGGTATATCATTATATCACTTTTAGGTAACACTTCATGCTTCTAGCAAGATGCATGACAGAAATTTCAGAAAAATTCTAAAATGTCCCATGACATTTTTTGATTCTACTCCAGTTGGGAGGATTGTCAATAGATTTTCCTATGACATGGATGAAAGTAAGTTTTTACTACAATTGTCAAGAATTTTTAATTTTTTCCAAATGATTAAAACAGACCAAATACTTTTTTTTACATTTGGTAGTTAATTTTTCAATGACATAGACAAAAATAAGTTTTCTCATTAAAAACATGAGTTTCTTAAGCCCTGACAGTAAAAAGTAAGTTTTTTTTTTATTAAGAGAGTTATTTTTCTTTAACTGTGATAGCAGAAAGAGATTTACTATGAAATAGTCTGTAAATTATTATATTTTTATTTTTAACTCGTATTTCAGTTGACATTCGGTTACCAGCCAGTGCTGAAGTTTTCCTGAGGAACATTCTAATGATAATATTTGCAGTCGGTAGTATCGTCTATGTTTCCCCCTATTTCCTTATTGCCATTTTACCGCTTGCCATTGCATTTTTTGCGTTGAAATTTGTGTTTAGTACCGGTGTTCGTGAATTAAAGAGATTGGATGCCAAAAGTCGGCCACCGTTGATCAGCCATATTACTGCTACTGTGCAGGGGATCAGCACCATTCACGCCTTTGGAAAATCTACAGAATTTAAGGATAGGTGAGAAACTTTGGAGATAAAAATAAGGAGAGAGGAATTAACAAGGCTTTTTATGAGTCACAAAATTTAGTAATTCTACAATTATTGTAAATGTATTATATTTGGCTGTGTATTCTTTTTAGTGCCTTCAAGCACAACTCTAAATGTCTTGCACATGCATATACTCCCAAATAAGAACATTAATTAGAAATGGGCTGAATCAAATCTGCACTAGCTTAGTCAAAAATCAATTTCAGCCAAATATCGTACATGCCAAATATGATACATTTACAGGATGCTTATTCCAATTTGCTGGCACCTGTACTTGTTATTATAAGTTATGAAATTTGAAATAAAAAATTTAATTGACCAGACTTATATGCACAGTGATTATGACATGGCTTAGTTCCTTTGGGAATACTGTGGAATCATCGTTGTTCTTGAGGGACTAATGTTCTTAACCATGAATTTACATCACCAGAAAGGTTTATTTTGTAAACATATTGATTCATTGAATCTACCCTATAAACAAGTAACCCACAAAATTACATCTCCCACAAACCCCATGAAGTAAAATTTTGCTTGCCCATGAACATTGAGCCCTATGAATTAAAATGATTTCACAGTAGAGAAGTTAATCTTTCTGTATTTCTGTACATACATAATTTTTATATATCTTGTAGATTTCATCAGCTGCTAGACACCAATTCGGTGCTTTTCTTCCTGTTTTCAGCGTCCAATCGCTGGCTTGCCATTCGCCTTGATCTCCTATCTGTTATTGTGGTAGGAGTGACAGGTCTTCTAGTAATTGTTACCAACATTCCAACAGCATTAGCAGGCATGGCCCTGACATTTGCGATACAGGTAATTAAGTCAAAAGTCTTGATCTGCTTAAATTTGTTGTACTGGAAAAATTATTTTACCTTTTATTTTTTGAGCATCTGAGGGTCATATAGGTTTCTTATAAGCCCATTCATGATTAATGCTGTCAGTTCATTTGATGTACATGTATATACATATGTATAGACTTGCTCAAGTCTCTATGTTTTAGTGCTCTCTTTCGTACTTTTTGATAATGTCAAACATAGACTTATATGTTTATGTTTGATAACATTTAACTATGACAGAGAGCAGAGGACAGCAATACAAAGAAGAACACAGAATTTAAAAAATATATTAATGGAAAAAAATTAACAATAAAAACATAGAGACTTGAGCAAGTCTAACGTATTTACTGAGGTATGTGAATTCAAAAAGTAGGCAATCATGAATTAGCAAACTGTATACATGTATACTGTAGAAGTACTTTTTTCTGCGTGGTATTAATTTACGCTATGTACGCAGTCACAAATTTTCCGTGGAAATTTGTCCAAGCGTACTTAATATAAATGTAAGGCATAAAGTGACAGTCTAGAAAATCCGCGTAATTTTCTACCCGCGGATTAAACAGAAATTTAGATTCTGCGGAATTATGACCCCGTGGAAAAAAGTACGTCTACAGTAAATGGTATATATGTATGAGATGGTAATACATGAATTGTGTTATGAAGAAATGTGTCCCTTATAATTTCAGATGACAGGGTTATTCCAGTTTACTGTGAGGATGGCAATAGACACAGAGGCCAGATTTACCTCTGTGGAGAGACTCTCACAGTATGAAAAGGTACACTGCTTACATGATTGCTAGGAAATTCATTTTACTGTAAAGGCATAAGTTTACAAAATTGTTTATCCATCAACAAGAGTGTGAAATTTTCCTTTCATAGTTTGTATTTGAGAAATAACTGACTAGAAGGCTACTAGTACATGTGCTAGTAGATTAAGTAGCTAAATCTCAATCTTTATATTCTTTATACTGTGTACATTCTAACATCTTTTTGTCGTTTTGAATTTAAATTTGCATTAACAATAGCTATAACTTCTGAAAAGTTGCTACCAGGGCTTTCATACTTGACATGTATATTCATTGTGACAAAACCTTTCATTGGGTGTTAAAATATTTGAATTTTATTTGTTTGGCCTATCCTTCAATGAAAAGCTCCTTTCTAGGGGCATCAGTGTTTCATAAACACATTTGTTTCCAAGTGAATAATGACTGTTTTGCAGATCTACACGTTTTTCTAATGTTGTTACAGGAAGCAGAATCAGAGGCCCCAGTTGTCATCAAGAAAAGCCGTCCCCCAGAAGACTGGCCACACAAAGGGACATTAGCCTTTAAGGGCGTCAAGCTCCAGTACAGAGAGAACCTCCCCCTGGCCCTGAAGGGCGTGTCCTTTGATGTTCTTCCTCAGGAGAAGATTGGCATTGTGGGTCGATCAGGCTCAGGTATATCTCAGGCTTTCTACACTTTCTTAGCCAAGGAAGTGTCTTGTGCTACACATAAAAACTTGGTAAACAAGTTATAAAATAGTAATGTGCCATCTTTTTAGCATGTACTTTAATAATAAATGCATCTAGCACAAATGCATACATGAATTTATTTAGATATCAGAATTTTAGTATCTTTTTTAGTTAAACTAATTTTCATTTGGTTAGTCTGTAATCTGCTTGCATTTATTATATACACCAAATCCTAAATACATGTTCAATGCACAATGAAGAAAATTTGCATTCTTTTCAATTTTTCTAGGAAAATCGTCTTTGGGTGTGGCTCTGTTTCGGTTGGTGGAGCTAGATTCTGGGACCATTAAGTTAGATGGTATTGACATATCAACACTAGGACTAGAGGATCTGAGGTCCAAGCTGGCCATTATACCACAGGATCCTGTCCTCTTCATAGGAACCATCAGGTCTGAGAAAAATATTCTTTTATTGAGCCTTACAAACAAAGACAATGTTGTGACCTCAGCTGGGACCAGTATATAATGATTATGTAATCTCTCTAATTCTTTTCTCAATTCATTAAAATTGAAGACAGAAGGTTAGATTCATATCATACAGCTCATCAACTAATAAGTGTGATGGCATCATTCTGTTTTAACAATTAAGACTGTTTTGAACAGTATAAATGTTATAACACCCCTCCACTGTGGTGGATCCAGGAATTTCATAACTGGGGTGCGCAGTAGAAGGCAGGGGGTTGAGGGGCTACATCGAAGCCCCTGGAAGCTGACAAATTCTTACAAATAAGAGGTTTAACCCCCTTGATTTTAGGGTAATGGACATATAACTTCTAATTATAGGTATAACTTATCATTACAGTTATAACGTCTAATTATAGGTATGACTCTATTCTTAATAGGTATAATTTAGATCCTTTTGGAGAGTACAGTGATGAAGCATTATGGCCAGCTCTAGAAAAATGTCATATAAAGGAAACTGTAAGTATTATACACATTTATCTTAATTTTTAACATGGATGGCTCATGAATCACAGTTACATGTAATATACCTTCTTATGATTGACTAATGCAGAGCTAGCTTATCTTGGACTAAGCATTTAACCAGACTGAGTGTTTTATATCTTCTGTATATATAGTTGCATGAGAAATGTAGTAGTGATCATTACTGATCAATTTACAAAAAATGTTAAAGTACATGTACAAACATTGTGTCAAAGGATGATAATATGCTTATTTTGCAGACACTTTTCTTTTAAAAAAAAAAAATGTTCATTAATTCACAATAATTAAATTTGCATCATAAAGGTTGATGTGGGAAATGTTCTACATGTATATAAATTCAGTAAAACACGGTTATACATAGCCAAAACACTTATAATGAATCCATGCTTACAGCAAAGTGATTTTCATTTCCTATGGTTTTAAAATGTATTGTTAATTAAACAGGTATAATGAATTATGTTTATAACAAATCAAATTTTTTCATCCTTGGCACTTCTCTATTTTAAACGTGTTTTACTGTGCATGTACAGATATATGCCATGCATTTTTGAAATATGAATTTTTGTTTGATAGCAAGATTATTAAATTGTCAAAAGTAAAATATGATAACAGATTTAATCATGTAAATCGATGAATATTTATTTAATGCATTTCTTTTATTAAAACTAGATTGCTTCCCTTGAACATCAACTAGACTCTCAGGTGATAGAAAATGGGGAGAATTTCTCTGTTGGAGAGAGACAACTAATTTGTTTAGCCAGAGCTCTGTTAAGGCACAGCAAAGTAAGTACTCATCTTAAAAATTTTCTCAAGTAGATTTTAACAGTCTTGTTTGTATGTAAATTGTTTAAACATATGATTTTCAATATCATGTTTTGTATATACTAAGACAATGACCACCAATATTTCACTTATAACAAATTTTGTGAAAATCAAAGAAATCTTAAATGTGAATTTCACTAATGAGACATTCAAGGAGAATTATTTTTGTTTATAATAAGAAACAATTGTAAGAGACTTGTTGTATCTACTCTGTTTTCTGTAATCCAGGTCCTGATGCTGGATGAAGCTACGGCAGCTATAGATACGGAGACTGACGCTCTGGTACAAACAACCATCAAGGAGGCTTTCTCTGACTGCACAATGTTAATTATAGCACATAGGCTGAATACTGTCTTATCTTGTAACCGTATCCTTGTTATGGAAGAGGGAAAGGTGAGTTACAAAACCAGATCATAAGAAAAAAGCCAATTTTTATATACCATAGCAATAAGTATACCCTAGTTTTATCTTTTTTTTTAGCTTACCTGAGCCGAAGGGACATTTTTTTCCTTTTATTTAATCTAACAGTGCAAGTTTTTCATAAAAGTTTTAATTCCATAAATGAACATTACGTGTATATGATGTATACATATTTAGAATCATGCAATTCTTTTGATTTTTTAATTTATTAACAGGTGGTTGAGTATGATACCCCAGTGAAACTGATGTCAGATCCTAAATCCAAGTTTAAAATGATGCTGGATGCCACAGAAAACCATGATTTATGACCATACGCTACGATAGATTTTATTTAAATCAATATTATAATTATATATAGTTATAGGAGAGCTGAAGGCAATTTAAGATAAAATGTTAATTTAATGAAATTTTTCATGCCAGTTTGATAGATTAAAATTGTATAATTTATGAATTGAGATACCAATAGTTTACAAATAACATTAGATAATGCATATGTACCCCAGACTGCAAGAGAGAGCTTATAGATGTTTAAAAATCTATGTATACTATATATTTTTAGAACTACATGCATGTATTGTTTTTATAATCAATATATAACCTCTCCTCTTTTGTAAATTGCAGGATTTTTTATCCTCTACATTTTTTAGGACTTTTCTTGTACTTGTACTTTCAATTCTTCCATTTTGACTTCTCTTCAAATTTATTTGCATATATATTACCAAGTATGTGCTTAAGAATTACATGTATCTTCAAATCTAGAAGAAACAATGACTACAAACATACCATACTTGTGGAATTTTTAGTAAGAGACAAATTTATCAATTGGCCATAAATGTCAGTGTATGATTTTCACAGTAAGTCATTTCAGAGATTTTGTAATTCAGTAAAGACAACTATTACCTATGAAATGAAATAAATTGTTAGAGATATATAGAGAAATCTTGCTAATAATATCAAAATTGAATTTTACTGAATAAAAATTACTTATTAAAAGGTCCAATCTAATTAAAATTAGATGTTAAATCCACTCGCAAACTCGCTACACTAACATCTAACAACATCCCATTGAGGGTCACGTCAGAGGTCAAATTCTATCAACCAATCAAATTGTTGCCAGCAAAATCATAGTATATTGTTGAAGGGAATAAGTCTAGAGCTGCATGCTCCGAATTTGACCTCTGATGTGACCCTCTATGGGATGTTGTTAGATGTTAGTGTAGCATGTATGCTAGTGGATCCAACATCTAATTTTAGTTAAATTGTAAAAGGTCCAGACATGTATTGATTGAATCCTGAGCTTGCTTGAACTGAACAAAAATTACTTATTAAAAGGTCCAGACATGTATTAATTGAATCCTGAGATTGCTTGAACTGAACAAAAATTACTTATTAAAAGGTCCAGACATGTATTAATTGAATCCTGAGCTTGCTTGAACTGAACAAAAATTACTTGTCAAAAGGTCCAGACATGTATTAATTTATTATTATATGTAGCATGGCAACATACCTGTATATTATATGTTTTATTTTGTTTTCTCCTTTGATAAGATCTGCTACACAAAAAAATTGATAATGTATCGTAAATTAATTTTCATTTGCTAAAATTTTATTTTTGAGTAATTACCCAAGACAGTGTCTTTGTGGAAATTTCATTCTCGCAATTATATTAGTATTTTGTAAAATTAGCAGTAACCGCAATTCATATGAAAATTTGGTCTCGCTAATAAGGAGTTACATGTAATGAATATCTTGTGAAAATAAGGTGTTGCAAATAATTATTATTCTACAGTTTATTGCTACATGTACTTTTATACTGATGACATTGGTTGTAAGCATGAATATTGTGATGTGTATATATATCGTATCTTATGGTTTAACTGTATGGCAGTGTTTTAATATACATGTTCCAAAATGTTTCTCATAAATAAGTATGTTTGCAGATACAAAAGTGTATATATCTTATGGTTTAACTGTTCACAAGTTTAAATATACATGTACCTAACTGTTTCTTGAAAATAATTATCTTTGCAGATGGCAATTTTCCATGTATGTCATCATTTTTTTAACTGAGCTAGAATATCCCATGTTTTTCTTTAACATAAAACAAGCCTTTTATACATATTTTTTGATAAATTTTGGTGCTACATGTACATGTATCTTCAGCTTTTAATTACCTAGTGTTAACCAATAAAATTGTGACAATTTTTAATGGTACAATATTATGACTGTTGCATGGAAATTAAATATGTACCTTGGTTTTCTGTTTCCAACCTTCATATCATAAATGAAATTCAATAATATAAAACTTGTATATACATATTTGACATGAAAATTGAAACTGATTTGTATACGTAAATTATGGTAAGACATGGGAAAAATAAGAAAAACATTCCTTTTCTCCTTTTTGAGGCCATTTTACACCAAAATCAAAAATGGGAAGAGAAAAACAAGCAATAAGCTCACAAAAGCTAGATACCCCCATGTCCTATACGGATATAATGGCAAAGTCCATGTTTTGCTCTGGTAGACTCAAGTGTCAGATCAAAAGGTAAAGTAGGAGGTGCACAATGGCATTATGTAATAAAGAATCAATGGAAGTATGTATCATTCAATTCTACTCAGTGGTTTTGAAGGAGTTAATTGTGGATAAGAGATGGGTACCCTTCAATGGTATAAAAAAAATGGCAGTGTCCATGTTTTGCTATGGGAAACCCAAAATTGGTCGGATCAAAAAGTAAAATAGGAGGTCACAATGGCACTATATGTAACCAAGATTCTGTGAAAGTCTCATTTAATTTCATTCAGTGGTAAAAGAGGAGTTGCGGATAAGAGATAGGTACCCCAAAGCATAACAGACATACAGACGTATATCCAAATCATTATATACCCTGCCACTTTTCAAGTGGGGGGTTTCATAAAATTCATTACTATAACAGAAAGTTTGCTTATCCATTCAGTATTTAGAATTATTGAATTGTTATCCTTAGTTTTTTTAAATATCTGAAATTGCATGTAATTAGGGTAAATAAAAGCTAATATTCTAAATATTGTACATTCATGTGTGATATTTAGTTATTTTCCATCAAATGTGCCTCTTGATCATTGGGACCATATATCAAAAATTCCTAAATTGCAAAAATAGCAGGACCAGAAGAGATGTCATATAAAATAAAAAAAATATGTATCTAGATTTTTTTTTCTCCAACAGACCCGAAAGCTTCATGAAAATCTAGTGAGTGCTCATGTGCCAAAAATCGGTAGGGAAAAAAACATTAACTAGAGCAAAGCTCTTTGCAAAGCAACAAGGAGGTCTTCTGTCCCATTTTCAATATCACTGCTTGTAAACATGGTTATTGGAGGAAACCATTTCAACATGAAGGCCACTTGACTAAATATTATGTTCTGTCTTTGGTATATGTTAGTGATTGAAATCTACTTTGATATATGTGATATAAAACAATTTATGACTATTTCTGGTTTGACCGAAAGTGATGCTCATCGACAGCAAATGAGGTTGGTAATCTTGGTAAATTTTAATTATTTAATTTCATGTCATTTCAAATTTTGAAAAAATAAGTCATTTCTGGCTACTTCAGATTTGAGAAAGCTTTTGTAATGACTGTGTCCCATATCTATTATTATAGCTGTCTTGTAGGTAATTTCAACAATATGGTAAAAGAGGCTACAGCAAACATACTTATGAATGATTTTCATTGTCTGTGGTTTTAAAACTCATTGTAAAGTTAAATACATTTATAATGAATTACATTTACAATGTATCAAAATTGTTCATGCTACTTTACAATTTACTGTTTGTTTGACTGTAACAGCTAGTGTCTGTAAAAACTTGGAAAGCCAATTGTTTATTAGTTAAAATTAATTCCTTTCCAGGCGCGTAGCTGCCTATACGCAAGTACGCAAGTGCGTACACATCATTTTCCAAAAAAAAAAAAAAAAAAAAAAAAAGGGATAAAAGAAAAGAAGGAAAAAAGAAAGAGAGAATTTTATTCGAGAAAAAAGAGGCACTACCCATGTTTCCAATTATTTTGCGTCTTATTGTTTAGATTCAATTTTTTTTCAGCATGTCTGCACATTCAAATTTAGTCCTTTATAAAATCAATTCCAAAAACATCTTTCAACATTCTTGAGGAAAAAAAATTGTTGAACCAAAATGTTAATCCGCGTAATCATGATTATCCGGACAAATATTTGATAAGGAAAGCGATCTAAGGGACTTTGATCGAAAGAAAAAGTTACAAAGGTTTTGGACGACTATCCAAGATTTTTAATTTCCGTAGAGGTAATGAATAAATGTCGTTAAACAATTTAAATTATGGTGAACAAAATAAATAATAATATAGCTTCTTTTACTGATGTTATATACCAATTTAAAGAATTACTAGTATATTATAATTTAAGCATTCTCGAATCATTTCAGCTATCAAATATGAAGGTAATCAAAAGACAACAACACCCCCGTTTATATTTTGAAATATTTAAACTCCATGATAACGATATTGAAATTGCTACTCTGTTTTATCTTGATACACTTGGAAACTTTTTTCCAATACCACAATATGCGTAAATTAATTTGATAAATTATCCTTCTCTTCCCGAAGTATCAATGGAAGCAGTAGGGTTATCTTATAGCTAAGTGTTTGCTCGAGAAAAGTGATATCATTATGATTTCTTTTGCGAGAAAATGACTGAAAAATTTCGTAAAATCCAGGAGCTTCCGGGGGCTTCGCCCCCTGAGCCCCCACCAGGGCTTTGCCCTGGACCCACTGGGGGCCTCAGGGCGGCCCCCAGACCCCCGACCGTTTTCTGCGTACACTTCATTTCCATGCTGGCTACGCGCCTGCTTTCACTTTGAGTTGGAGAAAGTCCTTTATATTTAAAAAAATATCTTAAAAATCCAATCAAGTATTTAATGAACATGTAATTGTGACAATGATCTTTATTTTGCACTGGGACCATGTGCATTATGGTACAAGTCCTGATTTAATTAGAATTGGGAAATGACAATGGCATGGTAATGTATCCATGTATAATGAGGGTTCAGAATTTCGCAATGGAAAGCTTAACTAAGGTGCTAAAAGGTGCTATATATTGCATACTTTTAGGTGAAGTTAAATCTCTTATAGCAAACATAGTACATGTTATGACAGTATTGTATGATTAATTCAAAGGGGTTGATTTACACAAGAGTTTTACAAAATAAAGAATAATAATATAATGTGATTGTTATAATGTGATTTTTTATAGTTTTGTATAGTTTTTGGTCTTTCCCTCTGTCTGTTTGTCTGCTAACCTTAACTTTCACAATAACAGTAAATCATAAACATATAATTTCAGCAGAGTGATGTCTCTATCATGTCTATACTGGGGGAGTAAGCAATGGTGTAGTTTCCTCCAAGTTACCATGACAGAAAGGTTTTGGTAATCGCAGCTGCAGTTGTTTAAAAAACCTCTGTTTCTGCATCTCTGTACAGTCTTCTCCCGGCCAATCTAGTCTTTTAAGGCCCTTGTATTCCACGGAATCCATTAGTGAATTCTCTAATCCTCTTTGCTTAATTATAGTAAATCCAGTCAGAGATTCAGACATATTTCTCAGACTGGACTCAATAAACACACGAAATTTGTTAGAATCCTCCGAATTGTTCTCCATGTCAATGATGATAACTGAGGCTGAACGCTCTAAATTACAGCCAAAATGTGAAAATACACCTAAAAGATAAATTTTTTATTCATACAGAAAATATCTCATCGATAAAATTGCTCATAAAATGCATGCAGTGAAACCTGTCGAACAAAACAATGCAATAATATTATTTCAAATCAATAATGAAGATCTATGAATTAATGTTACAATACTAATTTTGACAGAAACTTGAGGGTAAAGTCAGATGATCAATTTCTATCAAGTCCTTTCGATACATACCACAGTAAACAGATATTGATTTCATTAGTAATAAGCTTTTCCCATAACATACCTTCACCATAGCCCTCTATCTGAGTGATCTTGTATCCCTCCTTCTTCAGAGTACTAGTTATTTCTTCAGCAATGACATTATCTTCCTTCCTGGTGTCATCATGGACTAACAATGCATGCAAATCATGTCCTCCTAGAATTGTACAAGAAAATCTGCATGACATAAGTAAAATCTTATTTAAAATCAGAACTTTGTGCTACTATAGGAAATTATGATGGTTGCTGTAAAAAGTTTCAACCATAACAAAGATCTATACATGTACATATTATAAGATGTTTAAGAGTATTCAAAACTTAAATAAACTGAAACTGCAAATAATGAAATTTTTCTAAGTCCAAGGGGCATAACTCTGTCAAACGTAAAAACAAACTCTGAACAGAAAAGAACAGAAACTGTTGGTGGACCGACAGACAGACCGACAGAAAGCAGCATAGCAATTTGCCCTCCCTTCTTCGAAGAGGCCCCGGCATAAAAAACAAGACATTCAAATTTACAAGGCATAATTTCTTATGGGTCCATAGAAAATTTCTTATTATGCAATAAAAGAATGAAGTCTCTACTTTATATTGATATTTGAAATTCAAGACAATAATATATATGCTATTTTTTTCTTTACGTTAACCCAAAACCTAAATATGTCCCAGGCCTGCATATCTGAATGTTGTGTAATAAGTTAAGGACACTGAGTTAAGGACACTGGGACGAGATCGACTCACCCATTTTTGGCAGACTTCCCAGTAGACCCCGAGATCTGAAGTAGAACTTTATCTGCGGCCCGTAAACATGATGTACAACCTTAGAACTGGTGGTTATTATCACGATGAAGAAAAGGCATGGCAGCACAATAACCAGGATTATTGTTATGTTAACCTGCACAACTGTTAATTAAAAGGAAAAACAAATAATTTAATAAAGTAAGCTTACGAAAAAAGTCAAGTAGAAGTGCGCGTACTGACCTTGAATTTCAAATCCTTCTTGCAACAGTCATTTAAACTTTCTACTTAAAAAAAGCACATGCCTTTTTTCTGAAGTTTGACAAAAAATTTAGGTGTCGCTATGTCATAATCAGACTCAATCCAGCAAGAAAATGTCTGGTCAAAGTCTTTTTGTTGTACATTCAAGATTGTCAGGTTTGCTTGCACAACTGCATTAAAATCTCTGAAAATATAAAAGTCCATTGCCATTGTCATTTTTGTTCAATTGAGATAAATAAGTTTTTTTAAACATGTAAAATATGTCTTGTTATGTAACAAACAGTTAGTTGTAATTAATACATGTATGCAATAAATGACTTTGACCTAATTTGTTTAATACACTTGTATATCATTAAGTATTAGGTAGGGGTCCTGTGAGCAAGCTCACAAAATAATAAACAATGCCTATATTTTTTAAGTGTTCACATTCAAAATGTTCTACATGTGTACACACTTCCAACTTGCTGGAATAACCTTGGATCAAACACAATTGCTCCTTCAAGATATAAGTAATATTTGTGTGAAGTACGGTATAAACTTTCAATATGTATACATTAAGTTAATTATTGAGTGGAAACAAATTAAAACATTTTTTCTGATAAGTGATCTTTAACTTGCCAGAATGAGTCTCTATTTAAGAGTTAAAGACAAAACACAAATTAATTCCTTTATATGCCAGTCACCTTGAACTAGCTAGAGTATTCTTTGGTTATGGTCTACACATATCTCAAGGTCATAAACACTTTTTTTTTTTTATATGTTTGAGCCTCTGATGTTCTCCATTTCAAGATATGATCAGACAGGAATTGAGCATTTTTCTATAATTGACCTTGAACTTGATCAAATGACATTGAATCACAGTCATCTCACACCCTCAAGTAATAAGGAATCTTTGTACATACTTTCAATGGGTCTCAATAAAGAGGATGTGGACCAAAAAATAATGCTAAACATTTCTTCCCGAGTTGCAGCCTGTGACTCTAAACTTGCAGGCATGACCTTCATTTTGAAAACCATTACCTGTTGTCCTTGGTAACGACATAGCGCTTGTCAATATCGTGGACATTGGTGGTTCCTATATACCAGCTGACGTCTCTCTCGTAGCTAGGTTTGCAGCCAAAATCTGCAGCACACTGGAATGTGGCATTCTGTCCTACATTTGTAGGAACGTTGTGGGGTGGAATGGGTAGAGGTTTCACCCTGTCAGTGCAATCTGCAAGGGACAAACAACTGTTCATTTGTCCAATGTAACCTTAGTACAATTCTCTGTTATCCTTGGACTTTCAGTAAGGCTTGGCATTCTCAATGTTACATAATTAGCGTCCGAAATTTACATAGCCTTAAGCTTTCATTCACTGTTGAAATATACATGGAATAGAAATTTGGGCGAATGTCAACGAGTGTAGCAAATATTCAATCACAGCATCTTGTATGGTAAAGAGGTGGGGCTTAAGTCATCTCATCATTGTCAACAACGATTTAAAGTTGATGACGTTATTAATTTCTTAACCAACGATAATCTGACAGATGCTAATTATGTAGCTTCAAGAATGCCATGTCTCACTGAAAGTCCAAGGATGACAGAGAATTTTACTAGGTTTATAGTAAGCACATACTAGGATTTTTAATTCAGGCATGAGAAGAAATAAAGAACAGCATTGAGAACAACATGAAGTATAATCAGACAAATCCAAGTCCTTTTTGTAAACACACACAAGTTGTGAAAAATAATATTGAAGGCAGGCAAGTTCCTCATCTGAGATACAACTGAAAGCATTACTTTGAACAGACTGTGACCTTCACCAATTTTAACTGAAATAACTATCAGGTAGTTATTTATTTAAAATCTTTACAAGCTGGTCCAAATTTGGAGATGTTGAACATTGACATTCACAATTTCATGATCAGTTCCCTCTTTTAAATAATTCAGATGTTAACAAAAAGTGGATTTCCCTCAACCAAAAACTTACCATACACTAATAGCTCCTCTTGATGTGAAATGTTTTGCCCAGTGCTTGAGTTATGAACAACACAAAGATAGGAGCCCTCATCATAGCTTACTGTTGCCTTTAAAATTTCCAAAGTCTGGTTTATTGAATCTAACTTGGGGCAGTATTGATTGGCATTACACTCTTGATAAAGAAAAGGATAAGGAATCCAGAGGTTTTTGGTATTGTTATTCTTGAAGAACCATGTGATGGTATTGAAGCCTGATGCACAGCAGTCTAGGAAAATAACCTCTCTGGCTCTAACACTGTCAAGGTCTGTCAAATTCCTTGTAAAATGTAGATAATCTACAAAAAAATTAGCAAGTTAAGGTCTAAAATTAATTTTTTTCATCTAAGAATCTATCCACTAAAAATGCACCTGACCCAAAAATATTTCAGCAATTTTTTTTATATTACTTTTTTTGGGTGGGTGAAGTTTTAATTTCATATAGTTAGAATACTGAAATTATTTTATTTTCTATTTTTGATCTTTGTTTTCATCAATATATGGCTTATATAATAAGTGGAATTTAATGTCATATAGTAACCCCATGAAAATCTCTGATAAGTTATAAGCCCCCCCCCCCACCTCAAGCTAAAATATCAAAGAAACAAACAAAAAACCACCTACCTACCGACTCTTAAAATTATTGGCTGGCAACTGCAAACGAAAAATGTTTTAAGCTTGGCCCAATAGAAAAACTGATTGACTCTTTACTGTTCATGTTCTCATTAAGTGAGATGCTATAGAAGTATACTTTTTTCCAAGTGGTGTTAAAGTGTGCTAGGCACATGGACAAAAATTTCAGCGGAAATTCTCCTCAGCATGCTTGAACTACACATAAGGAATATAAACAGCAGCAATTAAAAAATGGGCGTAATAAATTTCTACCAGTTTGAACAGAAATTGAATTGCTATTCTGCAGATGAATGTCCTTGAATTATCCGAGATTACACATGAAATAATATAAAAGCAGGGGTAAGAGTCAAAAAAAATTTGGATTTTAATACCTTGAAGTCAATTCTTAGTCCCACCATTAAAAACAATGATGCTTAATTCCCAAATCATTAAACATGCAATTCAGACTGATGACATTTAGAAATTTAGAAATGTTAAAACATTTAGATATTGAGAAAATAACATATAATGGTGCAATTTCCAGTAATTTGACATACCTGTGGATGGTGTCTGGCAATCATTCATGGCTATACTGTAGGTCAGGATCATTACAACAGTCGTCAGGGAGTACAAGAAAAAGTGACGGTAACACTTGGACACATTGATGGCACACATTGAGTCTGTTTAGTCCAGTATCCCTGAAAACTATTGAGATAACATTGAAAAATGTGATATTATTAAACTCAATGGACAATGAACTTTATACCTTACCAAGTCTTTATGTTCCTGGCTCGGAATTTGAATATTATTGACAACAAAGTGTCAGAGTTTAAGTGTTTAAATTATTGTCTACAGTATGCAGTATATGATCATGTATATAGGATAGATGCAGTTCAAGTGTTTCCTGAGTGAATTTTTGATAATGGAGTATGACATTAAAAACTACTGACAGTTGACAGCTAGTAATACACATTTTCAGTCACTATAAGAGGACTGCTCTTAAAGATACATAATATTATGTTAGTTTTATAACTTTAGCTTCAATCTATCAAACATTTCCAGACTCAGTTTTTGAGAAATCTCCAAGATTTAACCGCCTTGATTTGATGTATTTATACAAATACAATTGAGAGAGAGAGAGAGAGAGAGAGAGTTAGCATTTTACTTTTTTCATAGGCCAGTGATGGGTTTATAAAGGTTTTAGCAATTTTAGCCATCAGCATAAAAATCTGTATAAGGTCATTTAGTTAATTATTATTTAGTAAACATGCTTAAGCCACAGGTGCTTTGTGACAGGACCCCCGCCCACCCCATTGTTCCGTACTTGAAGGGTTCTTTTTAACTTTTTTTTTTTTAAATAAAGTATTTTTCTTTGACATATTCTCAAAGTATTAAAACTTAAAATTCAAATTTTAAGCTAAAACTAGCCTTTTATAAAAAGACTGATATACATGATGTATACAAGTTTTTTTATTTTAATAATATTATATTGGAGATTATAAATTTTGGATGTTTTAGTTATAATGATTTGTAAAATTTAGTTAATAAATAACAAGTCAAAGAACACTTGCGGTACGGAACCCTGGCTGGGTGGAGGGGGGAGGGGAGGGGGTGTCCCAACCCCCAGCACCTGTGGGTTAAACGGCTGCAATAAAAATTCAAGTACAATTTTACACATACAAATTTACGAAACATGTTAACCAGGATGGAATCTTAATTAATTGCCTGTGCAAAACACAATGATTGAATAAAAATCACGTAGGCCTAATTCTTACCTGTCAGATAGTCATACACACACACAGGCTTCCTGTCAGTACCCGATGGGTGAAAGCGAAAGTAGGTAGCTGTTTAATGTAAAATATGATCTTATTAAATTTTATGGGTACTTATGATTTGTAAGTACGGAAAATGGTTAAAAACTCCAACAAACTTACTTAAGAATATTTACAAGTCATCAGCAATGAACAAATTCGAGAAGTAGGTATTAGGTGGCCAAGAATCAGAAGAATGACAACCGGATATTCCAAGGTGAAGGTTAAAGGAAAACCCTTTGGAGAGTTTGTGTGGTGGGAGGGGCTGGACAAGAAGTGGATCAGGAAAGATACGTTGTCTCAGTGGAGGTTCAGTTAGAATAATTAATACAAAATAAAGTTATCAGGGAATAGAGCCCAAAAACCATATTTAAACAGAAATTTAAATCCACTCCCTTTTCAAATAGATCAGTAGTTCTATCTAGGCTCGTATAGGAAAATCCATTGATCTAGATAATATTTTGCGCTAGTTTAAAACTAAACGTATGGAACGGCAAATTAACATATATATTCAAACATTTCAACTTTTAAAAAAATTAATTATGCCTAACTTCAAATCATGAATGAATTGAAGGTATTAAAGAATTGTAGGTATTTCGAATTAAAGATGGGTGCAAGATATCATACAATGTATGCGAGAGATCGTGCAAAGCTCAAACATTCCTATCGTAAAAGTGTTGTAAAGTGCCCGCGTGTGCCAATTGTGAACGGGCCTTAAAAAAAAACTGTAATTGCAGACAAGGTCATTGTATCGACCAGATTTTACAAATGATGATGATAAATAAGCTTGTAGTGTCAACGTATTTGTTAATAGCATACCTCGGTGTAGAAATTACTCAGACGCACAGAATGTGTTCTTCAGTATCACTATCAAATTAACCTAGAGACCAAACGTCCTTTCCATAATGGATTCCAAAACTTCATAAAAACCTTACAAAGATACACATAGCGGTCAGTAAGTATTCTACTAAACCTCTTTCTTTACCCTTCAATAAAATATTAACAGTAATGAAGGAGAAATTTCAGGAGTACTGTGCAACAATATATTCGAGAAGTGGTGTGAATCAGATATGGATACTTAATCGTCAATTTACTTTGTCATTGGTCATTTGAACAAATATGTCTTTATAAAAAAGCATTCTGACTGTGAACACAAGTACTCAGAAGTTGATATTCAAAAGATGCTCGAGTATCTGATTGGCAATAGTCTATGTGGGTTTTTGGAGACCAGGTCTTCCAACAATCTATTGGAATTCCCATGCCCGTTATTAGTTAATTAACTCGACATTTATTATAGATATATCGACGACGTATTGTCATTTCATTCTCATGTCGATACGATATATATCCCGCTGAGCTTAAAATCGAAGGTACGGCAGAGCCGTCTGTTTCATATTAAGATATTTTACTTCAAGTACTTGAAAAAGACATTAATGGTAATCTTACAACAAGCTTTATAATAAAACGTGAGGACATTAACTTTTCAATCAACTTCCCTTACTTATAATATGCAGCAATTTGTATGGCACGCCAAATTCACAAAAATGAGATAAACATAGTTTCACAATCGATAAACTAGGTTTATCGGTTGTAAACTATAGTTTGCGGACTGTAAACTATAGTTAACAACGTTAATCTGTATTTTACATCTGTAAACCATAATTAACGCGATAATCTATGTTTCACAACCGTAAACTATACTTAACACCGAAAAAAATCATTTGCGATTGCAAAACATAGATTATCTGATAAATACAGTTTCACGATTTGTAAACTATAGTTTACAAACCGTTCACGATTTGTAAACTATAGTTTACAAACCGTTAACTATAGTTAACGATCTGATAAATATAGTTTCACAATTTGTGAAACTATGATTAACAACTCTTAACTATAGTTTACGATTGTAAACTATAGTTTACAAACGTGAATCTATGTTTATCAACAAAATCTATTGTTAACGCCTTATTACAGACAGATAAACTTAAATTAACATTCGTAAACTATAGTTAACAACCGTTAAATATAGTTTTACAGATGAAAACTATACTTAACGAATCGTTAACTATAGTTTACGGTTTGTAAACTATAGTTTACAGCCGATAAACCTAGTTTATCAATTGTGAAACTATGATTATCTCATTTTTGTGAATTTGGCGTGCCATAAATATGTATACCTTCATCACCTGCATACGGGGTTTATATCTCCCTCAGTTGATTCAATACGTAAAAGCATGCTGTACGTCTGAAAATTTCTGAAACGAGGTAAACTATTGACAAACAAGTTGATGAAACAAGAATACCAGCAGTCTCGTTTATAAAGTCATCATTTCGTTAGTTCTATGGTCGATACAATGACCTTGTCAGGAAATGCAATTTATCATAAGTCAAACACTGACTGACGTTTTTCATACTGATTGTCAGGCCATTGTTTTCCCGTTATTTCCCGATAATGACAAGGAGCACACGGCGGGTATGACCGCGGTCGGCAGGGGATGCTTACTCCTTCGTGGCACCTTTTTGTTTTAGGTTCATGTTCGCTATGCTCCAATTTTGTATTGTTTCATGGATTTTTGAGCTTGAATGCTGTTCATTATCGCCATACATTTCATGCAAATGATCTAGAAGCTATGAAGCTTTACTAATCCATTTATTTTAACATTACATTAATTTTGCTTTTTATTTACGGGAGTTAATGTTGCAGCTGTAAAAAAAAAAACCTGCGCAAACGGTATACGTATTTTTTTTCTGCAATAGCTGCAATGTGAATAAAAGAAGGATATTGTTTTACTTATATTTATTTTGAAGAAGACTTTTGAGCGTGAATATTGTTCGTTATCTTCATATATACAATGTATTTCATTCAGACAATACTAAGAAATTAAGAAAATTGTCAATAAATCGCTATCGCGGAAGATCAAATGATAGAGCTTTTTTGTGAGAGACACAAATCTATCAAAACAGTAGCAACTGTTTCTTCGCTTATCGCTTGGCATCTTTAAGTAAAAATTCCAGGTCTTCGAGACAACCCTCAAAACCGAGGCTCCATGGTCCATGGATGTTGGAACGATTAAGACCCCTCATTGCCCGATGGGCCTGAGTGCCAAGTAAAGGTCTGCTGAAGGTCTTTACAGGTAAATAAGGTGATGGCCCTATATCAGTGAAATATTCTTGAATAAGACGTAAAGCAACAATCAATCAACCAAACAAAAATCAAGAATAAGTGCTCATTTACTGCATGAATAGGTTTCCTGTAAATACTTTTATTGAGGGTACTATGAGAATGGAGGAAGTTAAATGATATATTTTGTTCAAAATGTGAACTGTATCATTTCATTACATTTGTCATCTCACCAGAAATATCGTGACTTATAGGAAATACTACAGCTTCAGAAAGAATGTGTTGCTTCTTAATTGAAAACGTCTCTGATTTCAGAAAGATTCCAGTGCTTATGTGTAATTACGCATTCTACTGGTAATTTGTTTAATGTTAAATTGTTATTTCAAACATACATATACCTTCACCAAACAGTGTTCAGGTGCATGACTCTACCTTACTAATGCATTAGTACTGGTATCATCTATTTTGATAATAGAGTGAATATTCAAAGTAAATATTTTTCAAAATGTAAGTTAAAGGAATTCATGCATTAAACAAATTCACTGAAAAAGACCGACCGAATTGTGAATCCCACATCAAAAGAAATTAATATAATATGTGTTCCTTAGAAACAGATAAAACATGACAAAACTAATTAAAAGAACATGATAATACGTGTATACACAACTGTAAACATTTGGATAGAATTGTATTGTCTAACGTGATTCCATTCCCTTTACAGAAAATGAAAGAGGAAGAAGGTAAGTTTTTGTACAACTATTCTCCTGAGGATTGCGCAATGTGAGAAAAATAATGCGCGAGGCCTATTTGTGTTTATTTACTGTTTTAACGGCCTTTCTTTTCATCTGTCTTTCAGAACTTTAATTACATTTTTCTTAACTGGTTGTGGCCCATGTGGCGCAGTGGTTAGAGCGTTTGCTCTAGAGTCGCGAAGTAAGGAGTTGATCCTTATTCGAAGTTGGTTCGAATCCCAATGTGGGGCTTGGAGACTGGTCGTTCGGATGATATCGTATAAACCGAGGCCCCATGTCGCAGTAGGTACTGGCACGAGAAAGATCCCTCCCTGCTCAATGGCCCTAAGTGCCGAATATAGGACTAAATTTGCAGAATAAAATATATATTAAACTAAATTTGCAGCTCTCCACCGGCAAGTGGTGGCGTCTCCATATGAGTGAAAAATTCTCGAGAGGGATGTTAAACAATATACATCAATGAATCTTAACTGGTTAATCTGATCAATACATAGTGTTCATAGCTATAGTGTGTGGACCGTAGACACGAGATACTGCCTACAGGCTCTGTTCATGATGGTTTCCATGTTCTCGATTGTTACCGATTATAGACGATAAGCGCCAAGTAACTACCAAATTATATGACAAACGAGATGCGCGCGCGCGCGCGCGCGCGCGCGCGCGCGCGCGCGCGCGCGCGCGCGCGCGCGCGCGCGCGCGCGCGCGCGCGCGCGCGCGCGCGCGCGCGCGCGCGCGCGCGCGCGCGCGCGCGCGCGCGCGCGCGCGCGCGCGCGCGCGCGCGCGCGCGCGCGCGCGCGCGCGCGCGCGCGCGCGCGCGCGCGCGCGCGCGCGCGCGCGCGCCGCGCGCGCGCGCGCGCGCGCGCGCGCGCGCGCGCGCGCGCGCGCGCGCGCGCGCGCGCGCGCGCGCGCGCGCGCGCGCGCGCGCGCGCGCGCGCGCGCGCGCGCGCGCGCGCGCGCGCGCGCGCGCGCGCGCGCGCGCGCGCGCGCGCGCGCGCGCGCGCGCGCGCGCGCGCGCGCGCGCGCGCGCGCGCGCGCGCGCGCGCGCGCGCGCGCGCGCGCGCGCGCGCGCGCGCGCGCGCGCGCGCGCGCGCGCGCGCGCGCGCGCGCGCGCGCGCGCGCGCGCGCGCGCGCGCGCGCGCGCGCGCGCGCGCGCGCGCGCGCGCGCGCGCGCGCGCGCGCGCGCGCGCGCGCGCGCGCGCGCGCGCGCGCGCGCGCGCGCGCGCGCGCGCGCGCGCGCGCGCGCGCGCGCGCGCGCGCGCGCGCGCGCGCGCGCGCGCGCGCGCGCGCGCGCGCGCGCGCGCGCGCGCGCGCGCGCGCGC